TACCTTTACAGGAACCTTTTACCTTAACTAAACTTGATTGCAATCTTAAGAAGTCTTATCAAGGACCAGAATTTGTGATAAATAAATTAAAACCGCATACTAAAATAATGTCATTTTATTACAACAAGGATTTAAAGCCTACATTTACTGTGAGTATTTCATTATTGAATGAGGAAAGTATTGATGTAGAATGTCTGTCATCTGTTAATGGAAAACATCTTTATCAAGCTGTAGCAGACCATTTAAAATTGCAAGAGCGTTACTTGTTTGGATTAGCATATGCTCAGGACGGAATTGGAGAATTTTCTGATGTTAATTACAATCCTAAGTATTATGCATATAGACACAGATTAGATTATTATCCTGAATTCTCTAAATCTACTAAGTCTTCACTCCCAAAGAATTATACAACTCCAGGAGAAAGACGGCTCGAGAAGATTTTGTGTCAAGTACCGGAGACTAAATAATGTCACTAAGAAAGACAGTTACCCTCTTCCCAGGATTGACGATACTCTAGACACTTATCAGGAACAAGTTTTCCACCCTGGACCTCAGAGTGGATATGGCAAGGGAAATTCATCCGATGATAGAGAGAGAATGCGTTCACTACCGGTCAAGGATGTGGCGTTAAAGTTTGCCTTTGGACTTTGTAACGCCACTGCAACATTTGAACCTGATGGGACAGTGCTTGTGGTCTATCTTACAAATCCTCTGGTTACCTAGACGACAATCATTATAGGGCCGTACTTCGAGGAACATCTAGAAAATATCAGGAAGGTGTTCCAGAAATTGAGAGATGCAACCTAAATGAATCTTCGAATGCAAGTTGTTCCGCAGTGAAGTCATCTCTGCCGAAGGTGTCCGCACAGATCCAGAAAAGGTGTCGGCAGTTAAGGACTGGGAACGTCCTGTGGATATTCATAAACTACGGAGCTTTTCGTGTGGACTGAGGAGTGCGAGAAGTCCTTTAATCAGTTGAAGGCGACATTAACATCTTCGCCCGTGCTCGCGTATCCCCAGACCGACAAACAATTTATATTAGATACAGATGCAAGCAACGAAAGTGTGGGAGCTGTCCTTTCTCAAATGGTTAATGGGTTAATGGTTAAGAGCGAGTAATAGCCTATTAGAGTAAAGCTTGTCCAAATCGGAAAGGATATTGCGTCACCCGTAAAGAATGCTTGCTATCGTAAAGGCCAGAACACTTCCATCATTATTTCTATGGCAGAAAAATTATGCGGACACATCTTCTTTAAACTGGTATGAATTTCAAATCCTGAAGGACAAATAGCCAATGGATTCAAAACTGCGGAATATGACTTTGAGATAAAAACATCGTAAACGCTCCTCCCACGGAAAGCGGATGCTTTTACCAGGAAGCCTGGTCCTGCACACTGCAGCCATTGTTCAAGAGCCGAGGCTAAGTACGGGTTGGCGAATACGAGTATCCAGCAAGTAACATCTTCAACATCAACTGATCCAGATCCGTGGAGTGATGGAAAAGTTAGAGAAGATCAATCAGCGGATCCTGACATTAGGCCAATAATAGAACTGAAGGAATCATCCAGTATAAAACCCAATTGGCAGGACATTTCCATTTTCAGCCCTGCAACTAAAAGGTATTGGGCTCTCTGGGTACTTCCGATATGGAGTCTTATATCGATTATGGGAAAGCGACGATGGAACTAATAAGAGATGGCAGCTGCTGCTTCCCGAAACCGAATACCTGATGTTCTAAGAAAATACACAGCAGCTCAACGGGGGGCATTGGCTGTATGAAGACAACTAAACAAGGTCCGAGAGCGCTCTTCTGGAGTTCGCGAGAAACGATGTTGAGAAGTGGTGCCGATTTGTGATGCTGCGCAGCCAGGAAAGAACCGAAGCGACGTAGCGAGAAGCGCAGCGATACATATTAGGAGCGCCTTTTGAGCGATGACCTCGGCATTACTGGACCTTTTCCTCGGACCACGGATGGCAACAAATACATCTCGTTGTCATGGATTACTTACGAAGTGGCCCGAGCTTACCCAGTTCCAGATAAAGAGGCTGTCACGACAGTTGAAGTTCTGTTCAGAATTGGATGTCCATTTTGGACTTCCTTCAGATTCATTCCGACCAAGGCAGAAACTTTACTTCGGCTGTGTTCAAGGGACTCTGCGACATGTTAAAAATCAAGAAAACGCAGACGACCCCGTTACATCAGCAGTCTGATAGCATGGTGAAGAGATTTAACCGTACAAACCTTAACCACCTCTCGCTCATGGTTTCCAAGAACCAAGAAGACTGGGATCGCAAATTGTCCCTGTTCCTGCTTGCTTACCGTAGTGCTGCCCACGAAAGCACCGGCTATTCTCCATCACAGATGCTCTTCGGTCGCGATCTCTGTCTGCCAAGTTACCTGCTCTTCGGCCGCCCTCCGGATATACATTCCTCACCTGAGAAGTACGTGCAGGACCTCCAGGCCCAGTTGGAAACAGTACACAGGTTTGCTCGAGAGCGGATCAACATTTCGACGGACAGGATGAAGAAGAGATACGACGCAAGAGCCACCGAACATCAATTCGAGGAAAATGACAAGGTTTGGCTGTAGAATCCACGTCGTCATAACAGCATTTGTCCCAAACTGCAGTCGCATTGGGAGGGTCCCTATACAGTCCTCAACAGATTGAACGACGTTGTGATACGGATCCGTAAATCCCCCAAATTCAAAACCCAAGGTTCGTTCATTATTATGACAGATTAGCCCCTACTATGGGTCATAGTACTTATGCTTCTCATTCTTAGGGGCACCCATAATTTTGTACATGAGTTTCTTACCTATTTCTGTGTAAAGTTTGTATGTGTTAAATGTTTGTTTCTTTAGTTATGTTATTTATTTGTTTATTTCCTTTGTTTGTATCGAATTATGCTTCTGACCAAGGATTATACTGCCCCGGGCGTCAGTCCGGGAGGGGGCAGTTTTTTAGCAAGGGAAGTAGGGTCACATTTGGCGACAAAATTGCAAATACCATTGCGGATGGGAACCTTCTGAACGAATTCTTACTGGTTTATCCAATGTTCTCGAACACAAGCCGAAAGCTATATAAACCCTGCTGGTCCACAGTCAGTGTGTGTCTCGGCTAGCGAGCTGATAGTCAGTCATTGAGCGAGTGTCTCGAAGTATAGCACCGAGTTGGTCGTCGAGAGCATCGAGAGAGTCTTTTAGTGCATTGCGAATTACTGCATCGTCGAGTTTTGTCTTAGTGTGTGCTAGCAATGAGAGTCTCGAGAGTATGTGGAGTTCCGAGAATGACCAAACAGAGTCAGAAGCTGTACTTGCTTTGCGGGAAGTTGTCGTCTCCCGTTATTGCCTAACTGTGTGAAGGCTGTTCGCTGAACGTGTCGCGTATTTAAACAGTTCGACGACTGTAAAAGTGATTTGGAGCTATCTGATTAATATGTAATAATGTGTTTCAAACTTCATCAAGTGTCGTCGTTATTCACTCCAAATCTATGAACCCCGTACGAACGTGAAGGAAGAAAATAACGTAACAATATATTCTGTAGTTTATATCGGTCAAGAAGACTGAGTAATGAAACAAACATGGCCAGCATGCATTCGAAATGGAAAGCGAGTCTATATCCAGAGAAATAAAGCAGAATAGGTTTATGAACCTGCAGAAGCTGGCCTTGGAAGTTAACATTTGCCATAAATGTTTTTTATAGCCCATCTAAAAAATTAATATAAAGGTTTATTTCACACTTTCATTAAGAATTATGTATGTTGGCATAATTTAATTAAACATGAAAATGGCAAAGCGTCTTATGGCTCTCTGAGCTATAGGGAAAGGTGACATTATTAAAGGACTTTTTAAAAGGAACTGGCACATATTTTTCAAACATGAGGAAATTCTCATGCATTCAGCCTGTTAATTGCCATAAACAGACTCCAAGGCATAAGTTTTGTAGCTCTTGCTGTTTGATCATACTGTCTAATCAATGAATCTTAGCAAACTTAATTTAAAAGCAGAAATGTAAATGGGATACATCCATCGTTTAAATTTTGTAGGAAGTCTTGTGAAAAAAGCATTAGCACACAGTTTAAATAAACATGAATACATGATATAAAATTTAATTCTTAAGCCAATGCAAGACATACACGCGAAGGCTAAAAGGATGCCTTTATTTACAACTTTCTGAGGTAAAACACATATTCGAATTACACATGGTGGTATACCATAAAAACAACCTTATGGGTAACCCATTTGCTAGGATTCCAAGTTGAGCAACCAGTATTCTTTGTCTTAACCAATCCGCTTCTGGTATACAAGTAAACTGATAGATATTTTTATGATATTTCATCCTTAGTTGACATTCTGACATTAGGCTTCACTGAAGAAGTTATCAAATTATACCTCATTTAATAATTAACATCATCTCACTGATTACCTCCATCAAGCAGTCTTATAATTAAATAGTTTTTAGTAAGAAATTTTAAAATAAAATGTTATTAATTATAACAAAAATCTGATTTGTGTTCTATTCTTGCTACAGTTTTATCATGATAATTATGATTATCACAATAAATGTGTATCTGTGTAATAGTGTAAAAGTAGGAGTTATAATTCAAACAAAAATTATCAGTATTTAAAGAGCATGCAAATTATACTTATAGGCACTAAAGCTTAAATTTTATTTATGAAAGTGATTAATAATTTAATACAGGCCAAAAAAACTCGTACTGCATCATTAATTAAAAATTACTAATCATAAAGTTATAAAGTAACATTGTTTCAAAAACTGAACAAAGGAGGGAAAATGTAGATTGTGATGGAATGGCTGAGATAATTACTGAAAAGTATAATAATAAGCAGATACAATTATTTAAGGTATGTTCTATTGTGTAATGCTACTTTTGTATGCTACAACAAATATACTTCAGTTCTTGGGTATGTCGTGAATAGAATTTTCCACTTAAAATTTATTAAACTTTATTCCAGAAATGAAAACACACACACAAATTCCAGTTGAAATCTATAACATTTAATAACCATACACTTACAGTGCTGTAAAGGAACAATATGTATACTTTACAAAATAAGTCTGAAAAAGACAACATTGTAAACATTTGTGTTTAAAAATAAAAATCTCATTATATTTCTTAAACTAATTCTCATTCAAAATTTACAAATACAGTTAAAACAAATCATGCTTTTTTTAGAAATTATATACAGATTTGACAATGAATCAAATAGAAATAACTGAGATTTTTTTATATCTTAATTTTATGACAATGGTAACAGAACCCCTAAGTAAAAAAAAAAAAAAAAAAAATCTTGCTATCAAAATAGAAACTAATAATTTCAAATGACCATATATCAATAAAAAAAATTATGGGAAGATGAATGCACATTATTTTATTTGCTATCAAATATCAGTAAAAAAACACAGAAAGGGAAAAAATTTATCAGGGATCTTTCAATGGAACTGACAAATCGGAATTTGTGGAGTAATTTCTGGAAAGGCAGATAATACACATCAAAGAAATGTACCGCAGTAATACACAGGCAAAAGCTAGCTCAGGAAGTGAATATTAATATTTTTCAGTTAATTTCATATTAAAATAATTTTGATATAAAGAGTTTATCAAATATACATAAGCTTTCATGAATTTCAAACCTATAATAAAACACTGTTCATGGGGTTCTTGTGGTATGTCTCAGTTTGTTATACTTAAATTTGTATACGGCTAGAAATATGTCTCTCTCTCCTGCTCTCACATTTAATATTCTCCCTCAAAAAAGATTACAAAAACAGGTATGTGTTATTTTATCCGCAGCAATTTTTAAAATGTTAAATTTATACAATTAAATTTTATGAGATAAATTTTATTTATATTGTATATTAATCAAATTTTATTGTTAATGTGACTGGACGGTTTATTACAATTCATGAAAATTGTATAGTATTCAAGCATGTACAGAATAAATTCCAATCAAAATTTATTTTTTCTGAAGAATAATTTTTGTAGAAGGGATTTTTAGTGTCTAAAATTGAAAAAATATGCATGCCTGATACATTTAAACACTGAAAAATTTCATCTTCACACAAAAGAGTAAGCAAAAGATTTACTACTATTTTGAAATTATATTCAATTTAAAAAAATCTAATATCATATTTTATAAGTTTTAAAAAATTTTAACAGCCATGTAGTCAGTGTATAAAAATATTAAAACAAATAGCCTATGGAATGTTTTAGGTACATATTTTTTGGTTAAAATTATTGTAATATCAGTAATAGTAAAATATATTTGACAACTAACTACATATATATGAATTAAGTTTGCATGCAAAGCAAGAATATCTAGACAGCAAAAAGTGGATATCTAGAGGCTATAGAAGATATTTACTTGAATTAAAGTATCAAATAAGGAATTTCAGAATGTGCTTGAAACTACATTCAAGAAAGTCATTGTTCACAATACCAATCGAATAACAGATGCAACAACAAGCTACTGTTTCAACAAGGCACAAAGTACTCTTCACTTTTACACAAACTCTATTTCAATCTACATCCTGGACTTTAAAAAGTGTTCATAAATATGAACGGCAAGATGTTGATTGTACTAGAATAAGAGAAAATCTGTGTTTTGTTGTGAAAAGGTATTCTTTAATATTATTTAAAATGCAACCAGGGATCTCAGTTTAGTTCTTTCCCACTTCATATTACGTAAGAATTGAAGATATGAAATCCCACTGCCTCTCCCCAAAAAAGAGATAATAAACTTCTAGAAAGGCAAATACCCTTATATAAACTGAGAAGTCATTTAGAAATAAATTTTAGCAAGAGTTTGATTTCACCTAAACATACTGTTATACTGAGAACCCTGAACATCTTGTTTGAAGCAAACACAAGGGAAAATACACATACATTTTTCCTCCCTTCCATTTGATCAGTAACATTTGTCCTAAATAAAACTTAATGGAGCAAACATTTTAGATTGTACCAACATGTTCAGTCAGCACCTATATGGAAGACTTCATCAGAACTACAATTTTCTGAAAAGCTTGTGAGCAGAAAAAATGTCAATAGCTGCTTTCATTCAATTATTTAACTGGCATGAATAATTTTCCCCCTTTCTTTAAAATTATTAACTTAAGATTTATGTGCACTCAAAGATGGCCGTAGTTTATGTGAGACAAGCAAGAAAATAGTAATTAAAAGTCACATTTATACTTTATGCTTGAAGTTACACTGTATTTTATGCTACAAGCAAGAATATGACATCTATACATACAAGTGAATCTTTTAATGATTGATGTGCTAATATTATTATGTTTTAAAATGGCTGGACAATAGATCTTTCAGATAATATGTACACATTCAGTAACATACACCATCATATTAACATATATGATATAACTGATGATATAACTGATGATATATATATATATATCCATATTTCTGTACTCTGAATGACATATAACCATCAACATACAACAAATAATTTCTTACTTTGCAATTTTCCTTTGATATTTGTTATCAGTAATGAAATCTCATCTTTTTTAAGAAGCTAATATATAGATAACTGTTTTGCTGCCCAAAATTGGCCATTAGAACCTGATAATTGTAAGCATAAAAGCTAACTATAATCTGTAGTCCTGATCTGGCCAGCTACAAGATAGTTTAAGCAGCTACTGATAACTGAGTGACATATGGTATAACTCCTCCCGGACCAGCTAGAGAGGAGCACTTCATGAGATCAGCATCAATCTGCCGGGCGGCCTGCCGCCCTTCAGATATGGCATGAACAACAAGAGACTGGCCTCGTCGACAATCTAAAAGATCAGAAGATACAAGACTTCACACATGCCCAATATTGATATTTAGATACAATAAACAACTAAAACATGTAAGTGCAATAAGAAAATTTTAAAGATTGTCCTAATGCTTTAATTTAGCAAAGATTATAAAACATGAAACAGCAAAAATTTTTTAAGTATATAATTTGTTAGAAGTTGAACTTATATTGTCAATATATTTAAGAAATATATACACACTCAGAATTTTTAGCATCAACATTAAATAACATTAAAAACTAATGTAATAATATTTTGTAGTCCATGTTTATGTTATCTCTAAATAATATGTACATTTTAACAATATATATTTTATATTTACTAGCATATTTTCCCTCTTTTCCTACTAATTTTATTGCTTGAACACTGGGAAGGGAAAAATGCACAGTGTATACTGTTTCCAAAGCAATAATTATAGACACAATAATATTATGTATTTCAAAGGGCATATTAATTTCTATAATATTCTTTTTATTTACATCAGCAGTTTCCCATTCGTGCATATTTTACATTGTTACCGTAAATCAGAATTTCTTAAGTCACATGCTAAAAATACTAAAGAAATATGTGAGTAAATGTGATATTTTTTATACTAGCAAAATTTGTTTTGTTCTTAAAATATCCAAATCAAAATTATCTAAGCCTGTACTTATACCAGTTTCTCCCTTTTGCTCTTACTTGCTCTGCGTGTTGGCTGCGTAACTGGGATGGTCAGTCTTCCTTATTGTGATTCTTCATCATAAACTTTAATCACGTTAGACACTAATTTCTTCAAATCGCTGCAGAAAAGTTTATTTCTAGAGCTTTCAGGAACATTAGAATTCATCGTAAAAATGAAGATTTGAAAGTAAAAGAAGGTCAGTAACAGCGATGCTCAACGATTGTAAGAAAAAGCACTAAATGACCCCAACCTCCGAGAGGAAAAAAAAACCCAACGCTTTTCACCCACACCTTCTGAAAACTTCTTAAAAAATTTGAAGTAAACTCCAATGATGGAACACAGCAATAACTTTTATTTTACACTAAAAAAAAAAAAAAAAAAAAAAATGCGACATACAAACAAGAGAAGGAAAGGTATAAAAACTTATTTTTAAAAAAATAATTACATGCTTTGTGTGAGAAAATGCATGCAGTTCTGGAGCCTGCATTTCAATATTGCTAGTAACCTGTAAATTATTTATTATTCATCTATTTCAAATGCACAGGAGATTAATAACAATATTAAAACTGTTACAACTGCTACGACCTTCGAGAGGGAAAAATACCCACGCTTTTCGCCCACACCCCTTCAATTAAACTGACCCATCTTGGCTCTCAGCTAAATGACTCACGCTAGTGTGGTTAGACAGTATAGTTATGCATGTGTTTTTGTTCATGTTACAATATCTAATATATTTCTATTCTCTTTTCTACTCTACAAGAATATGTATATGAGACGTGTAAGGATGTAAGTTAAAGGAAAAAGGACTAAAAATGCCTACCATCTACAAATAACTCTGGTATTTCTGCTGCAAGCAATATTTATCTACAATTTAGTGAGTTTCTCCTTTGCTGTTGAATATTAGGTAATATTTTGTGAAAATGGCTAGATCAGAATTTAAACTTGTGATTTGTAAATAATTTGAATTTAATTTTGTCTTATTCTTGCAAGACACAGAAATCAATGGCACAAGAATTTTAGCTGCTTTTATTCCCCTTGCATTCATTAGTAAATGAATTTTAACATTATGGTAAAAGGTGAGACAAAAGAAATAATCTTTCAGACTAGAAAGTTAAATTAGTTTTAATTTAAGCAAAAATGAGTTTTACCTTAAAACTCAATTTTCTTTTTGGCAAAATACATGCGTCTTTTTAGCTTTCTTCAGTAATATCTTGATTTCAGTTGTCTTATTTTCCACTTGCTTTTAGCCCAGGAATCTTCATAAATTTTTTTGTACTAAGCTAAACACTTGTGACACTATCTTCAATTTTATGCTTCTTTCAATGAAGTGACCTTCATTTGGAAAATATTAACTCCATTTGTTGGGATCAGTGAGGGACTCTTATTATTTCTTCTTTTTCTGTCTTTTTAATTCTATCCCGATGATGATTTCTTTTAACTACATCCAGCTATTGGCAATTCTGTCACAGATACTCCATAAAGTGAATTTACTTGATCGAATTGGGTTAGAATGAAATTTAGCAATATAGTATGTTCTAAGATATTTTCCTCAATTTTCACACCATACCATAGGGCTGAGATATTAATACAGATGCTACATATATCTGCAACTTTTTTATTTTAATATTCTGAAACCATTCATTCTATAAAATTAATTTCTTATACTTAAAACACAGATCTAATTATTTTTTTAAAAATTAATTATGCAAATTGAAAATGTGTTTATGTTTACAGTATATACTTTTAAAGATGTAACATTTAGCAAGAAAGTGAAATACCTTTACTCTTTCATAGCCATTACAGTACTAAATACGAGACTGTAAAATTAAGGTACTTAGGTATACTAAGGTATTATAAGGTACTAAGTTATACTAAAGCATTCCAACTTACTTAGTTGGATTAAAGCAATAATCAAGATTTTATAAAATTAGTCAATAATTTAGTCAGCATTTATGAACTTATAAACTTAGAAAATCTAGTAAAAACCATGTAAAATTCAATAATTTTTTTTTTAATATTACCTCCAGCAGCATAAACTTTTGGTATAGATGTATGATAATTTCCATTGGGTGTCGCAATATTTTTTCGTGGATCCTGTTGCACTCCTATATCACTGAGAAGATACTGTTCAGGTCCAAGAAATCCCATCGCAAGCATTACCAGGTCAGCCTGTAAAATTCACAGTTATATGTTCACATTATAATAAGCTGTCCAAAATGGATAAGTTAATGCATCTGGAATGAATAAGTTAAATCATTTCAGAATTAGTTAATACTTTCCAAATTTACTAACTAGAATTTAGATATTTAACATATAAGACAACAATCATTTTTATTTAGATAAAAGTCATGAGCAGAGCCATACCTAGATTTTTATTAACTATATCTATATAATTTTATACTTTTTAATCTTAAGTTTATGTATTCATGTCTTAATTTTATTCAGTAAAGTATTCATTACATTATTCAGTAAATTTATAATTTTTTAAATAAAAAAATTAAAAGTACCTTTTTTGATAAACAGCAAATAGAAGTGATAGAATATGAATAGCACTACAATTAATATAAAAGTATGTACTACATTAGAATCCCAGCCTTTTTTTATTTAATTTTCTTGCTTTTAACAAACTAAATTGATAATATATTTTTAATGTACTTTATTATTTAATTAGTATTCTACACAGAAAATAATGATATTTGAAAGATTTTTAAGGACAAGGGAAGATTTTGCATATTTTAATTTTTCTGAAGCTACTTTCATCTAACTTTGTAACTGAAAACCTAAAAAAAAATAGTCTTAACACAACTTTCAAAGTCAGAAATGACTAAACTAAACACTATTCCTAAATTATATTTAAAAGGTGTGATTTTGGTTTAGTCATCAGAATTACTGGAGCATTGTGATTTATAAAAATAGATATTTCTCATGGAATATCTGTAGCATTTATCCATGTGGATCATTTATATCATGTGGATATTTAGGTACTAAGTTCTTCTTTTATAAAATATGGATTTTTATAATATTATTAATTTAATACTAATTTTTCACCTGTTAGAAAGTGGCAACCAAAAGCTATCTCGTTTAATTTTTAATATCTTTAATAATATATTTAGCAATGCACCATCTTTCATTTTTATCAAAAACACACATTTTTTCTGATAAAATTTAGATCTTTTATCAATTAAGTCTTGATAATCTGATTTATCAACAATTCATTTTCATTTCTCTTCTTATTCTTTTAATATATTCATCTTCAAAGTTAAAATTTCACATATCTCAAGAATATTTTCTGTCATGTTCGATAAGGAATGAAATATATCTTCTAACATCTTAAGTTCAGTATGACAAAACATTAGAGAGTTGTTTGCCTAGGGAAAGGGAGACTTTCGTAAAGAACTTTCTAAGGATAACTGGCTGTATATACATTACACATATACCTTCCCATGAAGAAAACCTTGTAACCAACTCATTTACCAGCATTCGATATTTTGATATTAACTTTTTCTTATAGTATTAAATTCCCTGCTGATACATACAAAATTTTAAATCTATTTGCTTTGCAGTTTCAACCCACTGCAATGATTTATTGATTGATGTTGTATATAAATTTGAAATTTATATAAAAATAAAAAGATAATAATGACCTGAAAATTCTATAAAATAAGTAATAATGTTTTTTCTGTCTCATTTTAAATATTTAATCATTAACAATTAATTAAAGCTTTTTATTTGGTTTGCTTAATTGATAAGAAAATGCACACACAAATGCTCAAGAATATAAACCCCCATAACATTGCTTGAAATTTGCCATTTTAAGATGTTGCTTCAGAATTGAAAGTAAATAACGATAATTTATTTTTAAAGGTATTTCTGCTGTTAATTTGCCCCCCTCCCTTCTATTCATTCACCTAAGGAAAATGCCTCATTACCTCGCCCTTCTCCTGGCTAGGTCATAAAGAACAACTTTCCAGAAGCAAAGAAAAGGTAAGTAACATGCACTGATAATAAAAGGCCTAGCTTTACATGGGCAAAAAAAGGACTGATTTCTCAAAATCTGACTAATTGAATACATTTTGGCTGAGATATAGCATCAAAAGACATTAATATAAAGTGAAAAATCTAGTATGAATGAATATTATAAAATTATATTATGACACAAATAGAACTGAAATAATATGGAATTAAATTTTAGAAAGAAGCGATTAAAGGAGACACAAATACGATAAAAGGGATTTTTTGTTAAAAGGGAATGCACAGCTTAATTTTCAGAGGAGCACACCAGAGCTCAGCTCCAGAACTTCTCAGTTTCTGAGATAAACGGCGATTCTATGCGGAATGCAGCGGAGCCCTAAATAAAAGGGATAGATGTAGTTTTTTTTTATGTAACTGGAACACAATTTCAGCGGGAAAAATGGTTTTTTAAAAATAAATATGCATTGAAAGACGATTATGACTTCTGATCGCATACTTGTTTTTCTCCAGTTAAAAAATGGATGGAGGTGTTAACACTTTTAAGGAAAGAAAATCCTACATCCACATTTCAAAGATTTATTCTCCAAGTAGAAAATGAATTTATGACAGTCAGGGTAAAATGTTTTGTTTCTGAAAGCACTAAAAATTATCTATTTGGTTATGCACTTTCAGCGCTAGTGACCTTTCAATGCAGAGCTCCTGCTGACTTGAACTATGCAACCAAATACGAGGGACAAAAATTTTCACTTGTTCAGACCTTACATTATATGTTATCTGATAGGACACTAAGGGGAAACTTTTTTGCCCAATCACATTCTGTTTAACAGCTAGAATTATACGGGCAGGGCATCGTGGTCAGAAAGCTTAACTCTTCTTTGTTTTTGAAGCTACATTTCTTAATTTAAATTTCTTTCCATACTCCCATATTGTTTCTATCATTCTCTCTGTTCTCATTAGTGCCGCTTTAATGGTTTTATTTTTTTCCATTGGTGGGTTGGAAAAAGAATGGTTTTTGTTTCTCTCATCCCTTGAAATTGTAAGTTATACCATATATTCAGGGCTTGAATTCAGCTGGCTAAGCTATTGCTTAGTTTTCTGAATGAAATTTAAGTCCTGCCGAAGCTCTAAATAAGATGAGCCCTGATATTTTATTTCTTTTATTTAACCATTAATTGTTAATTTAATCGTTTATTAAATTTTGTTTATATCTTTATATTTCTTATTTTAATTATTATTAGTCTTTTTTATTTTTTATTAGTTATTTTATTTTTTCCCTTCTTCCTGATGGCCTTCCATAGTCCGGCACTTCTGATTTTAGAAATTAAGCCCCGAGGGAATGAATTCTTTTGAAGAGTATAAATATATCACAATGCAATTTCAGGCTCTCAATTAATTAGAATCTGGCACAGTAAATTTTATCATGCAACAACTTTTTCAAAGGTAACCAATACGTTTTCTATGATATGGAAATCAGGAAATTTGGCTAACCAATTTTATAGCTCAATATTTTTGGCTTCCAAAAATTTATCAATCAGATTTCCTTGATATATAAATATGTTCTCATCCATAAAAAGTCAGCCGAATCCACATTCATCTCTAAAACGCTTTACGTTAGATGGAAAAATTTCATTTTGAAACTCCTGTTGAGCATGTGCAGAACAGCATGTGCATTGTTCATTAGTCTTCCCCTATACTATCATTTACATTGTTGTAACAGACATATTCCATAATGTTGCTAAGAATCTTTCCTACTTCTGACTCTCTTCAGATGTAAATGCATTCAGAATTAAATGTGAAACTGTAACTCATTAATGAGGTAGAATCACTGTTCTCGAATCCATCTCTGATGTTTCCTGCATGAATTCACGTAAGGTCTCTTTTGTTGATGTCAACAAAATGCAAACCATAAGCTTCCTAGCATCAAAGTTTTTTTTTATTATTATTTATCTGATTATGGCAAAGCACATGAGGGCAATCTCTCTAAATGAGGGGAGGACACTAAGGAAAATAGGCTCGCATCTGCATTGCACCTGGGGAAAATGCGCATTCACCAGCCAGGATTCAAACCCCGGTTGAACTACCAGTGTTCAGCAATTTTACCACTGGGCACTCTAACACGAAAGCCTTTCACATATATATATTTTCCCCTAATGCAGAATTCACAGTAGTTGCTGTAAGTTCCAAGTTCAGCTATTTAGTAGTAAAATTTCTGTTTGGAAAAACAGAAACCAATCTTAAGAAGCATTAATTTTGCTTCAATGATTTGTAACTGATACCAACAATTTCAGAACCTTTAAATTGTTTCCAGAAAGCAGACATTGTCTATCTAAAAACATTCAACCATACTATTATTTCTGTAACTATTTACCTTGTTTCTAAATGATAGTTTTCAATCTAAAAAATTTTTCCAAATGATACTTTTTCCACTTAAAAAATTGTTTTGATTTAATGGATAATGAAATCAGCTTTTGAATTGTGGAAGTTCATGAAGCTGTACTTGGTGCAAAAGGTTTGTTTTGCCTTTGGAATGCAAAATGCTGTTTTTTGCATTCCAAAATTAGATTGATGGAATTGGTAGTAATAATGAGTAATAATAATCAAGTTTACACTTTCCTCATTTTATTAAGAAACAACAAAAATCAGATTGATTAATTCAATGTGCATCATTATATATCCATGGATGTAAAACAATATCAAACAGAAATGCATTATGCAGAAGAAACTCATAGAACAAATTTACATTGTTTTTTGGATTTTACATATACATTTAAATATTCATTGTTCACAATAACCCTCACTAAAATAGATAACAGGTAAAACTTAAAAGACATATATAATTTAATTTGTTAAAATGTATGTGTTAAAGATACTTTAAAGCATACATCTTTATATGTAGTACTCATGATTTAGTCTTTAAGTAATACTTTTTAATTAGTTAGCAATTAAAGGATTTAAAATCCTCAGGTGCATAAAAAGTCATAAACTGATTGTTAGATGTAAGTATAAAGTACAGTTTTAAAAATCCTCAGGTGCATAAAAAGTCATAAACTGATTGTTAGATGTAAGTATAAAGTACAGTTTTAATATTGTATTAACATTAAACTTTAATATATTGTAACTAACATTAAAATATTTAATTAACATAAAATGCCATATTAATTTATTTTGAGTGCCAATGAAGCTTAAGCATATCATTGGTAAACAAACAAAAATACACACTTGGTTCAAAAGACTTTGTTTTTTAATATAATTTTTCAAAGGAACACCTAACAATGAAATTTAATAGAAATGCAAATTAATATAAGATAGCAATTTATATATAAGACAGCAAACAATGCAAGTACCCACTCAAATGGCATGGGTGAATCTAGATTCACCATTGAAATTGGGCTTAAAGCTGGTGACCTTTTTAGTCTGCTAAGTTGTTCTGTCTTACATAAAAGCAACAAATCTTCTGGCCAAAAAAAACTAACTTTTTAGTTTTTGGGAGGGGGGGAAAAACACCTCTTTTCTTAATACTGAATACCAAAAAGGTATGTTAAAAAAATAAGATCATCTCACCGCTTTAATTTTTAAATTTTAATACTATACTATTACATCAATTTAATGTCTTTATAACATATCAAATGGCATAAAAATTTTCATTATTTATTATGAAATATAATGATATTTTTTAGCAATTTTTCCTTTAATTTTATGAGCTATCAACTAAAACTTTCTAATGTAAGTGTATGTATGTGCAAGAAAGAAACCTACTTCTAGCAGAAAAATAACCATTTAAGATTTAATATTTTAGAGAAAAGAATTCAAGATCTTTTAAATTATATCAAAACATGTGCAAAGACTGTTTACAATTAGAATTTTACTGAAAGAATATGAGTTAACTAGTATTTTTACTTTTAGATGAAAGAAATAATGAATATTTAAAATACAAAAATCATTAAATCACTCCAATAGTAAATAACAAGCTTATAAATTTTTAAATGCTAAATGAATATAAATGCAAATTTTAGATTCAGGGGAAGGACCAAAAACAAGTCCCTCATTTCCATAAATATTACTTAACTTATTTACCGAGTATTCAATTAGACAGTATTTATTTACAATTAGTAGAAATACTAAAAACTTGAGTTTTAAATAAATACTAATAAATATAAAAAGCTAAAGACTAGAGAGCAAGAGCAGCAAGGTTTTTTTTTTTTTTTTTTTTTGGGGGGGGGGAGGGGCGCTTGTGGTATATTAAGTATTTTTTTTATATAGGCATATATATAGATGTTAATAAAAATAGACACAGCTCATCAAAATTTGCATTCATTAAGAAGTAATATTCATCCTTTCATATTTACAGTATTTGAAACTTTAAAGAGAAATGCTGCAAACATTAAACGGTTTATATCACATTTGTTTAAATAATTCAAGTATGTCTCTTATATATTTAATAAAGAACTAGCATATTAACTTTGTGCATTCTAATAATGCACAGCATTTTTCCAAGATACTGTTTTGTGAAAATGCTGTTTACAGGTTTGGATGTTACCTTGAAAACTTTCTCAGAACCAGGAATTTTTTCCATAACCCAGTTTCCTGATTTATCCTTTTTCCATTCAACTTTTATTGTACTAATACCAGAAACATTTCCATTGCCATCATCCAAGAATTTCTGAAATTCCAAAAGATTTAAGGCATAAACATATATAGATATAGATTTTTAGATACACAGATAAGTTTTTTTTCCATGAATTTGTTCATGTTTAATATTCCAATAAATGAAATAAATTATTTAAGAATGTAAGTCTGCAAGTATTTTAATTTTGCTAGTCTAAAAGCATCTTCAGTTTACGTAAAACCTGTAATATTCTTTCTCTTCACATTACATCAAAAGCAACATAAAATAAGGTACTGCTTAAAGACATGAAATTTTACACATATTTATGTCAAAAGAGTGTTCTCCACTTGTAAGCATTCAAACAATACAGACGTCCTGAGTTAATTTTTCAGCATGCTAGAATGCTTAAGTATTTTAAAGAGAGAAGCCAAGAATTTCAGGATAAGAATTCTAAGTGAAGTAAAAAATATTTAATGTAATTCATAGTCATGCTTAATTCAAATTTTGTTTTAAAGCAAGGATGTCAAACTCGCGGCCCACAACAAATATATATTTTTGCGGCCCAGCCAATATATCGGCGCCCAGCCCAAATCGCCAATAAATAATAATAAAATTAAAAATAACGAAGACGAAAAAATGAAATGTTTACTGCTAATAATTAACGATAATTTCACAGTTAGAGTACTCACCGACACACACACACTAAATTACACAAATGCGTGTGAGTAGCTTGTTCAGCTACTTTGGCTTTGGGGGGACGTGCACTCAGAACTTTGTACGCATCCCCCGACAGCCGAATGTGGCCGAACTCATGGTTTTCCAATCATAGTTTTGTACATATATTGGTGCATGGTCATGCACGTGCTTTATTGTAATTATTACTTAATTCATATTGTTACGATTTCATAGTTTTTATTAGTTAGTTTTTTTTTTAATTTAAATGTTGCTTATGTTGCCTTAGCAACGCAGATTTTTGAAAAGACAGCTGCGTTGGAAGGTAAAAAGTAGAACGTGCATACATTAATATCTAAAATAAATATCTCGTAATTGCTTGGCCCAAAATCCCAGATATTTATACATTTTCCATATTCGAGAAAATATAAGCTTATAAAAGCTGAGAACAACCAACTTATCTCAGTAGTAACTGTATTTAGCGAACCGGTTGTTTACTTAATGCTGTGATTGATTGGTAGCGATTCGCTGTGAGATAGAATTAGCTCTGTTTTGAATTGGTGAATCTAAACGTTTGACATTTTGTGATAGGGTTAGAATATTTTTCAAGAAATATTTCAGCTTTTGTTTATCTCTTGTGGAAAGAATGAATTTTGTAACTTTTTAACGTTACCATGTTTATTCCAGCCTTTGTATTCATATGTCTATAAAACCAGGGTTAGTAAAATTAAACAAAAAATCACGGACGAACGTAGAATATCCAAAAATGGAATTAGAAATATTTTGCTGTGAAATAAAGATAAAAATCTGCTTGAATGTAATACTATTACTGGTGCCAAGGTTATATATAAACACATTAACGACACAAATCGAACAACAATACGAAGGATTAATGAGAGAAGAAAGTTGAAAGAGCTCAAGTTAGGAGTGAAAATCAACAGTCCATGTTTAGTAAGTATTTGCAAGAAAGTGAAGCGGCGGTACATGCAATCTACATCTTGTCTGAGTTGATAGCTAAGCATTCGAAGCCTTTACTGACGGTGATTTCATCAAGAATGCCTAATGAAAGCTGGAGAAATTGTTTGTCCTGGAATGTGAAGGCTTTTCATCAATTTCATTGTCTCAAAATACAGTTTGGAAAGAGTTACTGATTTGCACGAATTTAAGTGATCAGATCAAGCAAATCATCTAGTTTCGAAAGTTTCTCTCCATTGCCTGTGACGAGAGCACGGACATTAGTGGCAAAGCTCAATTAGTAGTGTTTCTTCTTCGTTCTTGTGACAAGAATTTTAACATTTTGAGGAGTTACTGGAACTAATACTGATGCCTGGTACTACCATAGGAGAAGATATATTACTTGTGTTTTTGGACTTCTGTGCAAAATACAATCTACTTTGACAAAATTAAATTCTGTAGCTACAGATGGCGCTCCATCACTGACCCGAGAAAAACAAGGGCTCGTAGCATTACTAAGGCAAAACTTATTGAAATTCACGGTTCAAACATTCATCATATGCATTTGTATTATATATCAAGAATTATGCACGAAAGTAATAAATATGGAGAATGTTTTGTCATACATAAAAAAGTTATACATTTTAAAAGATCTCGAGGTTTAAATCAGCGTCAATTCACTGCTTTCTTAAGTGAGTTAGAGATAGTGAATATTCGGTTTGTCCTACTATACGAGGTAACTTGGTATCTTGCTCCAAGATTCTCAAACAATTCTGGGATTTGAAGAAGAAATATGTCAGTTTTTAAAAACGAAAAATCAAGACGTAATTTGTTTTATGATCCAATATGGATACCAATTTATCTTTCTTGGTTGATATAACCAAACACTAATTTTAAATTTATTTATCGTTACAAGGAAAGATCAAATCATTACGAACATGTTTTACATAATTAAAGCATTCAAAGTCAACTAGTTCTTTGGGAAAAGCAACTTAAAAAAAAGATTTGATGCACTTCCTGACGTGCAGCATGAACAAATCAAGTTTAGATGATACTTTTCATATCAAAAATATGCAGAAAAAATTGCAAATTTAAAACAACTGAATTTGAAACGGTTTAATGATTTTAGTTCCCTCAAAAAACAAATTTTTTTTTTTTCTTCGAGTTTCTCAATAAGTTGACCAGTACCAACCACATGCAAATGAAGGTGATTGAGATCAATGAAAACAATTTGAAAGCAATTCATTGAAGTGGACATGCCTGAATTTTAGAATATTTACCAACCAGGTTTGAAAATATACTCGAAATTCGCATATGAAATTATTTCCATGTTTGGTAGCACTTATCGGTGTGAGCATTATTTTCAGTCATGAAAGGTAATAAGTCTCCTATTAGAAACCGTATTAATGATGCTTACCTTGGGTCAGCGTTGAAAGTTATCACTGCAAACAAAATTTCTCTCCCAAATAGGAAAGATAATAGCAGAGAGAAATGTCAAGTATCAGGACGTAAACAATTAAATTTTTCTTGTTCTTTTCTATATAAATATTATATATGTTTATTATTGTATTATTCGAATAAATCTACGTTTCTATGAATATTGTTTTTTTTTTTTTTTTTTTTTTTTTTTTGCTGCCCCACCTAAAGTTAAACCTTGTTTGTTTGGCCCAAGTGTACCTATGAGTTTGACATCCCTGTTTTAAAGGCTAAATTTAGGCTTATGGTTACTGCTTAATTCAAAAAGCTCTATTATTTTAACCAGGTATGGATAGTGAGAAGTAAAAGCAAATATATATATATATTGATAAATTAAATACTCAGCTCATAGCAGATTTTGAAATTTAAATTTTAAAAAAGCTTTAAAAAATTGCTGAGTCTGTCAATTGACTGATTAAACATATGGGTTAGAATGCCATTCGTAGGGAACTTTCTAAGGAAACTGGCTTTACAGTCATGCATCAGCCCGCTCATTAGCCAGGAATAAAAAAAGAGCTACCGGTATTCTTAGTTTTAGCTAATTGGTCAGTGATGAGTTAAGTTCAAATATAATGGCCACTTTTAATTTGATGTAAATGCTTGACTTCTATCCACCAGAGGTATCCCCATCTTTTTTTTTTTTTTTTTCCCTAAATATACATAGAATCTTAAATATAAAATGAATTCCTCCATTAATTATATTCTGATATTTTTCTTGTAACAACAGAAACCACATTCATATCCAATTTACAAAACTAAAAGCATTATTTTTCTATATATGTGCGAATTTCTGGGCATAAGTTATTCCTCTACAAAAATATATCTGTATATTATACTAAAATTCATTCCAGCACAGAAAGCTGGTATTAATTGAAATGAATTTCTGAAAATATAGTTAATAAAAATATATAATTGCAAATTCTAATACTACATAAATATACATACATATGCATGTGTATTTAACTGAAAGATCCCCCCCCCAAAAAAAAAGATTCCATGTATCTGAAGTTAGGTATTCATTTTTAAATATGTTTACTTTTAGCATATGGATAAATGGGCCTACATTTTTGACATGTAAATAAGATTAAATTCTACTGCTGGCAATCAAACAAATACCCAGACTTTTGTACCAATAAATTTTGAACCAAAGCCTTTTTTTGTGCACCTATAAACACCATATTTATCTGAATATAAGACAATCTCAAATGTAATCAAATCCTATTAATTCAGTGATTATTGGGGGATTTAATTTTGAAGATATTCAAAATTAAGAATCAATATGAACCCTTCGAATCAATATGAACAAATACTACTTTATTACCCAAGATTCTAAAACATAAATTGAAGAATAATTTAGGTATTTTTGAAAGACAACATCCTTTTGAAATTAAATGAAAATTGCAAATGGTAGAACCTATTGATGCACATTCTATCAATAGTATTTATATTTACACATACACCACACACTACTGAAATTATTACTCTGTTTCATTGTTTCACTACTAACAGTGTATTCTGGAAGAATGTTCCTTTGTATGGTTCCATGAACGAATTTGTGGGAGTAGCAATCATAAATGAAGGATTATTTCATACAATATACAACTTGAAAACATTGCCAAGTTTAGTACTTTTTGTTAATAACTGATTTTGAAGATGACCCCAATTTTATAATTTTTCATTTTTCAGATCTTTGGAAACCTTTATTTTCAGGTAAATATGGTACTTATTTATTTGCATAAGAGACATTTAAATATAAACTATGACTTGCATTATTTTATACCAAAGAAAGTGAATTACAACATGTGCAAAAATTTATAATGTAAACTGACAGTATAAAATAACATCGAAAATAATTTTCATTAAATCAATGCTATTGCATTTCGAAATACATTTAAGAATTACTATCAAGACAACAGTTGAAAGAAAAAGGACAGAGAGAGTTCAGATTAAACACATGTCTCTTACTATTTAAAACAAAATGCACTTACCTCTGAGAGAATGCAGAAATTTCTAGGATCATCCCCAAACTTAACTTTCACTTCTTGATGACCATAATCTACTCTAAATACTTTAGGCCACTGAGGCCATGGATTATCTACAGCCCGCCGTTCAGGAGGTTCAGGGAGGATTTCAAATGTCACTATACTTTTAGCACCCTAAACAGTGTATGGCATAATTCATTTACTTGCAGAATATGTAACAAATACACAACAGTTTAAGGAAAATTACGAAATTAGTGATTATAGAAGTGTCATAAGAATAATATAAATGCATTAAATACTAATCTTTCAGTATAACAAACTGCATTATATTTGCTTTAAAATGAATAATTTTATATTTAAAATTACATTTAAGATGAATTACTATACATATTTACATTAAAATGAATTATTATCATACATATTTATTAAAATAATAATCAAAGCTGTTTCATACATTAATTGCATTTCTGAAAACACGAGATTACATAAAAAGACTGAGGAAGAGTTCTTAAGTATTTATTCTAAAATGCTTGTATTAACATAACAACTAGAAAAAAATTTGCAGTTACATTCAGAAAGATTAAAACTGTAAATGATTTTTTATTTTTTTTCCCTATGAAATTCAAAATACTTGAACTAACATAATATGCCATGGGGAAGGACATCATGAAAACAAAAACTGCATGTTGAGGTGCTACAGCATGTTATTGATCAGAAGATAAAGGTATTCTTGTGTAAACCATCATTTCTTGAGTCCTGAGTATACTTCGAGCAATATGAATGTTAAATGAATGGAGGGCTTGCTGCTAATATCTACACCATCTATGGAACTATAGTCTTTTTTTTAATGGAGCAGTTACTCAACGAGGTGCAGAGAACAATTCCCAAATACCTCCTTTGAGCAGATGCTTTATTTCCATTTGCATATTTAAGATAGCAAGATATTTGCTCCTGTGTAAATTTTGTACAATACAATATTCAATACATAGTGAAACAATATGAATATCAATATATTTAGTTTAGCTTATCTAACCCAAATATTAAGAATTATATGACCATTTGGTTAAATAAATAAATATTTACTCTTCAAATTGGGATCTAAAGTGCTAAAGACCCTTCAGTACAATCCAAATAGAGTTGTTGTTTATTAGGAGATAAGAGTAATAAAATAAAGAAACTAAATTATGGGGCTGTGAACTATATAAATTGTTATTTGATTTTTTTACTGTTATTCATAATATTATCATTCTTTTCTTCTTCTTCTTTCTTGCTTGAAAATAAAAAATGCTAATTCATACAGTCCATTGCTCATTATTGTTATTCTGCATTATATCGTTATTTTTTGGTTCTGTTTACCTGGAGAACCTACGGGTAATAAGCGAACAATAATTATTATTCCTCAGTTTTGATTTGGAATGCTATGATGCTACAAAAGCCGCATGAGCCATTTTCCAATTTGTAGATTTGTTTGCAATGCTTTGCTTCAGAATCCTGTGTTTTGACTTCAGCAATGAGCATCTGTTAATCATCATCTAATGCAGGGGTTCTCAACCGGTGGTACACAAGACAAAAATAGGTGGTACATTAAAGACTCAACATCCTGATTGCGTTTTTTTTTCTGTAACACTCGTAAATTTATGCGATTCGAGCTTTGTTTAAGAGTGATGGTGGTTTTGGTAGTTGTACTTTGTAGTGGTGATACTAATGGTTTTCAATTTTTTTTTTTTTAGATGGTACGCGTTAGTCAGAAGGTTCAGAACTGATCTAATGGATAATATGTGTTCTATGTACTAATCAAACAAATTTTGATTCAGCTGACTGTTGCTGAGACACCCAAGTACACCATCTGCTGTTTCAATTAAGGGTACGCCATCTTTACCTTTTTCATAATGGATATGTAATAACTATTAATAAAGAAACAAGTTGCGAAAGGAAATACAACTAAATTGAAAGATAAAATATGTTCAGAAATTGCTAACGCAGATGGGGTAAAAATCAAACTTTTCAAAAAGAAACTGAATAATTTTGCAGATGCTTTGTGCAGCAGATGTTTTGTGCATTTTTGATAATATTTACATAACATGTGAGAAAAGGAAAGTTGTTGAAGAATATCAAACAGTTCAAAATAAAACTGATGATCTCTGCTTGGATTTAGAACGAAAAATTTCTTACCTTGATAATGCTAGTTCAGTTAGTGTTCTTAATACAACCAATGTAAAGTGCCGAATTAAAATTTCCCTACTTTTAGCTGAAGTTTAAATCAATGGTTTAAATTTAGTGATCTTTTTAAGGCCAGTGTACATAACAATATTAAATTATCAGATGCTTAAAGGCTTCAATATCTTAAGAGCTTTTGAAAAACTAAAGCTCTAAAAATAATTCAAGGTATACTTATTTCAGATTCAAATTACGAAACAGCTTGGGATTTCTTGGGATTTTTACGAAACAGCTTGGGAATAAACGAGAAGTGGTGAGTGCAGCCAAATTATTACACAGCCAAATATTGCTGATTCAGCGGATGTTATTTAGAATCTGGTTGATGTCACTAATACAGTACAAAGTCTGAAATCCGGATGTCCATTATCCAGAATGATCTAAAATCCGGACTTCAAAGCCACAGACGTTTTTTTTGGGGGGTGGGGGTATGCTTTACGCATGCGCATTTGAGTTTTCCTTCCATAATAAAATGTGTGGAGATTTTCACTTTAAAAATTCCAATTCTTAATTTCACTTAGGCTCTAAATAAAATACCTCATTATGGAAAAACAATCATGTAAGCATAAATTTGTGAGATTAATAATGTGGCTCCATAGTTGAGTATCTGCTTGGTTAATCTCAAACCAAACATTCACCTATTTTATATCCCTGACGTCGACCTGGCGAGTCATTATTATATTTTGCTTTCATCGCATGTTTATCAGTACATGACAGCTTCAGTAATAGCTCATGTAGTGATGTCTAAACTTTTTTATATTAGTTATTGAATAACAAGAGTATGGCAACCTTTCATGTTAACATTACGCTTGGCGATGATCATAGATTTTTAAATGCTCTAAGAAATGTTGAAGAAAAATTCAACAAAAATTTCTTTTCATATGCTAAAAATAGGTTTTGTTAATGAAACTCATAGACCAAAAGATTATATTTAATGCTATTTTAATTAAGAATAACTGATATGTTATTCACCATAAACCCAGAAGCGGCAGCAGAATATGTCGGCACCGGACAACAGAATTTAGGAAAAACGGAACTTTTGGAACTTGGAGAAGCACCGAGTGGCAAAATTAAGGGATGAGAAGTTTTTTTATGATTTAGAGAAAGCACCTGGGATCCAATGTTTAGGCATAGTGAAAATTTAGAATTTAGGAAGGCACTTTGTAGCACAATTTAGAACCCGTAGAGACTGCACCAGGCAGTGTCTAGCGACGGCTCTAGATTAAAGCCTTAAGTATATGTGGGAGTTTATTTATTCAAGACTCAGATTTTAAGCATGGGCAAAAAATAAACGTAGGTATAGCAAATAACTAAACTAATACAATTCAGGCTTAATTCACTACGCAGTAGGAATAAGACAAAATTTAGCAAAACAATTTGGCTTCCTAATCTTCTAATTTCATCCAGCTTATTATTTTTTGCAGACTGTTATTATTAAGGCAATTTTATAAAAAACTAAGCTTGGACTTTCGATTATATTGTAAAGAGTTTCCAATTATGGGGCTACCTAAGGATCTACAAAGCGAAACCATGTTTCAACCTCCATTAAACAAAAAGTGGAACTGCTGCAGAAAATGGGTAAAGGCATATCCGTCTCAAAATTATGCAAGAAGTATGGTATTAGAAAGTCGGTATATGACATAAGAAAAAGGAACTTTTTAAATTTTTAGTGGAAGCAATTTAAACAACTTACATTGAAAGAAATGTTTAATAAAGTAAACAAATAAATATTAAGCTTTTTTTTTTTTTTTTGGTAAATTTTGATACCCTTTAGATCATAATTGTTCTTTATTTCATAAATTATGATTTCATATTTTTAATTGTATAATTTCTGCATGCCATCTTACCAGATTTAAATTGATGATCTAATATCCGGAAAAATCCCAAATCTGGAATTTCCAAAATCCCGACAAGTCCAGATTTCGGACTTTGTACTGTATATGCATTTGTTCTCTAAGCGTACTAGAATAACAGGTTGAAGGCTTTGATGATAGATTGGTAACTCATTTACTCATTCATTAAATGAATTACTTGCTTTTTTAAAAGAGCATGCTAGGACACTTAGAGACCTTGGAGAATAGAAACTCTTACCCCCAAAACTATCAGATAATCTGGTACTGAGTATCGAAAGATAATGCAATGCAATCATTGCAGTTCTGGGAGGTCATATCCCTTACTTTATTGTTCTCTCTCTTAGCCAAACAGTTTTTTGTACCAATAACATTCCATAAATAAAGCTTTTTCCCATTCATTTTGTACTGTATGTGCCCTATTCGTTTTTTTGTTACTAAACTTTCCTCATCCTTTAAGTACTACATTATGCTTCTAAAGGAACAATTTCCCATTTCCTAGTTGATTTTTTTTGTTGAATTATGGCCAAAATCAGAAAAATTGCTTGCTTGAGTTTTGTACATTAGTGTAGATAGAGGGGAAAAATTCAAGTCCTACAGTTTTAATAAAAGCTGCAAGAAAAAATTTCTAGTTTAAATATTCCCAAAGAGTTTGATAATTAGAAAATTTACATATAGACTATTTTCCTTCCGTAATGCTTAAATGGCTTATGTAATACAACTACTGATAAAATGGGGGAAAAAAAGGAGAATAAGATATTTGGTAAAAACAGGGTTAAAACTAAGACTTAACGTTTTTCAATACAATATACCTGTCGTAGTGATGTAGCAATGCAGTCACAGCCAGTATCTCCACCACCAATAATAATAACATCTTTATCTTTAGCATTAACTTTAGAATAATCAATTTTATTTCCAAGTTGATGTTTCTGCCAAGTCTCAAGGAAATTCATAGCAAAATGAATTCCATTCAGTTCCCTCCCTGTAAAGTTGTTATTATTTAATTGTTCAGTTTCACAATATAATAACATGCAATAAAGACATTTTGATTTGTAATACACAAACTGTGCAAAAGACATTCAGAAAATACATCAAATTAATTTATACAGGCTCTAACTTCAGGCAAAAGAAAAAAAAAAAAAGCATATTTAATTGAACATGATTAAGAACAGGCCAAAACCAATAGAAAGCATACATTTGAGATTAATTTAAAATTCAACATTTGATTGTTTTATTCAGAACCGAGCTCTGCGATTAAAATTATAGGAGTAGAGTAAAGACAAGTACATTCATGTTTAAAGATAATAATATATTTTAATTTCTCTCAGTCATGTTTAAAAATAATAATATGCTTTAATCTTTCGGACATGTTTGAAATGCTTTAATCTTAAATCATGATTTTTATTTTAATAGCTTAAAAGAGTATCAAAATATGAGTTTAAATTGCATCCATACCCAAAATTGTACAAAAAACAAAACAAAACAAAACAAAACAAAAAAAAAACTCTTAAAATTCAGGTTACATGTAAGGTCAGATGTATTCTATGTTTATATTCTTGATTATAGAAAAAAATTAAAAACTGAATATTTAGGGATTCAATAAATATGGTACATTGTTTACCTAATTATTATTAATTAAATTTTTAGTTAATTATGAGAAAAATTCTTTTCACTCTGTAACATGCATTATTCTTTTTCATTTATAATAAGTCTGATATAGCTGTACTCTCTGGCAAAATGCTTTACAGCAATAAGAGACACATTTTAAAAATCAAACTATTTAATTAACATAAACTGATTTAAGAACAAAAGATAAAATAACAACATAAATTTACGATAAAAAATTTTCATACAAAAATAATAAATAAAATAAAACCAATAATTTAGATTAAATTAATGAATCACTATTCAAAATTTGAAACATATAAACTACAAGAATAAAAAAAAAAAAAAAAAAAAAACCCGGATACCTGGAATTGGAAGATCTCTTGGCCATGTAGCCCCGACAGTTAACAATAAAGCATCATTTTCTTCAAGGAGAGATTTGGCAGATATGTCTTTACCAACGTTAACGTTAGTGTGGAATGTTATTCCTTCTGCAGTCAATAAATCAACACGCCTCTTAACAACCTGCATAAATAAAAAATAAAATTTAAATATTATGTAAATTATAAATAAAGTAAATAACTTCTAAATACTGAAGACTCATTTTAAATATAAATAGCAGAGATATTAAAAATTAATATACTATAAGCAAAATATTGGTAAAGTAAAAGGTAAACAAACATTTTCTAGTAAAGCAGTAAGTATGTTTAGTTTGTGTTTCAAGTACCTTTCCAGAAAAAAATGTTGTATAAAATATAATGCACAGTAAAATGTTTATTTTAATTAAATATTAATCTACTGATACTACAAATAATGCATCATATAAAATGAGCACATACCTCAAACTTCAATAAAAGACATACAAGCTAACTTTCATATTTTATACCAAATGAACCAATAAATGTATGACAACTGATTATTTTCCACAATGTAATGCATAAATGTTACGTTTTGATAAGAAATAAAAAGATTTTAACTAATCTGTGATTGTCAGCAGTCATATTAAAAATCAGTATTACATTTATAACACAAGTAAAACATTTTACTAGTATTTACAACTGACACTTATTATGATCCCTCATGTCCCACTAAGAAAGGACATGATAATGAATAATCACTTTAATGGAAATAGATTTAATATACTTCCTGCAGTTGGGAACTTTTTGTACTCATCATTTAAATGAAATGGTTGCTATAACAAGCATCTTTATGAGAAACTTTATTTTTTATGCTTTCAAATCATTGTTCAATGTTCTGTATAATAAAATATCAAAGTAACAACAATTCTAAATATAAAACATGGTGCATGCTTAAAAATTATGTCCTATATTTAATTAAATATGCATATGAAATTCAAAGTAGACAAGGTGACTAATTACACATAAAAAATGAAGGCTTTTTAGGAGTAGAACTATCATAAACTAAAATTATCTTTTCTCAAATGATAGTACAAGATATTTTTGACACTAAAGACTCAATTATTGAAATAAGTTTATCAAGTAACCTAATGATATAAATTAGTGTAAACTAGATATACTTTCTCATTCATTAGATTTGTTTAACTTCAAGCTCATTTGAATTTTGACTAGAAACTTCTTACATAAAAACAGAGCTACTCTTATGTTCCTTTCAAGTATTTTAAAGATGAAGCAAATCTTGTCTACATACTTCTTTGCTAAGTTTCATAGTAGGAATTCCATACTCCAACAGTCCTCCTACTCTGTCATTGCGTTCATAAACATGGACAGTATGGCCAGCCTTTAAAATACATAAATTTTAATAATCACTTACAATATGATTCTATTTTAATACAGATGATATTAGCTACAAAATAAAAGAGTACATATAATGTCATTAGTACATCTGATATTATGATTAAGCTTAAATTTTAAAACCCAAACTCCAAAATAACTTGTTGAAAAGAGATCAAAAATTAAAAAAATAAAAAAAGGTCTAAATCATAGTTTTAAAAAGCACTTGATACACTGCTGACATAATTCTTAACCTTTATATTTATACTCAAATACTTTTATTTACTGCTGAATCAATTAAATGTTAATTTTATGTTAACAAGCATAAATAAGAAATGCATAGATAGCAATAAGTTGTATTTTGTATTAAGCAAATTTATAGCTACGCATATATCTTATTAATTACATATAATTTTGTTTTAATATAGAATAAGAAAAATAAAAGAATGGATACCTAGTTGATGAATAATAAGTAGCAAGGAGTAAATAGTAGTTATTTAACGAAAATTATTTATTATGATCAAAACTACAGTAAAACTTTGATAACCTGATGTTTCAACAAAAGTGGAACTGAAGTTTTTTCCACAGATTAAATTCACCAAAAATTATCAATTTTTCTTCCTAAATCAATTTTTTAAACCCAAACTAATCAATCAGTTGAGTCTTTTTTCACTATGTGTACATTTCTTTATCAATAAGTCAAAAAGAGATAATACTTCCATGTCATGGGCATCATACCTTAAGCTGCCTTTGTAAAGGTATGAAATAAAAAGAACTTTGCCTTTCCACAATCATTTAAAATACCAAAAACTGAAGTTTTGCTCCTTGTATTTTAATGTATATTACACAAAAGGCTGTAATTTGCTTATGATATATAAAGCATTACATATATTTATCTCTCTCTTCTGCAGATGCCATTAAAAGTGCTAAAGATAAGATACACTTAAAACATTTTGATTATTAGTAGCCACTGTTTGAAGAAATGGGCTGAACGATGGAGCCAAATGTTATCTTTATAGACTCCTAGATTACCACTTTCATCTATGCCTCTTAATGGTAGAATACCTCTTTATGACTGCAGGATTGGTTTGAATTCTCGTTTGGAAAGTAGATGTCACATTAAAACAAATCTTCAGCCATTGAACCATTATTCAAAATAACCCGTGGATAGTCTGGCTAAACTTGGTTCTGACTCATCCCAACAACATTTTCCTGTTGATTTTTTTATTGTTATGAGATTAAATCCAGCAACATTATGTATCAGTGTGATGAACTGGTTGAAAAACATTTTTGCAATTCCTTACTGAAAACTCTGGTTGCCCATAACTTTTCTAAAGCTGTAGATGTAGCAAATATTTATCTCATAACTAACATTAATTTATATGAGAAAATATGGTGAAAATGAGTCTAAAATAACACAAAAAGAAAGAACGATGAAATGAATACAAAATATATGTAAGTATAACTAGCACATGAATAGTATATTTTACATTTTAAAATTCAAAGACAGCAAGCACACTATAGGACTTAAAAATAATGACACTGATGGTAGTGCATAGAGTATAAGGACATATGAGAGTTGCAGAACCAGTGGTGGACAAAAAAATAGGTGATATCATCTATTAATATCTTACCATCATCAGATCACTGTATCTACAAATTCTATATCTCTTTGTCCAAATGTTAAAAGTTTAAAATTTGCCATATGATCTATGATATAGGCTTGAAATAATATAATGTGCTTGATTACTTTGATAGACATTTGCTATTGCATAGTTTTTTACATGCCATCAAAATATCCTCCAAAACTACAATATATTGTATTCTCTTTCACATTAAAAATGACATTTTGTGCACTGGGGAAAAAACTGTAGAACTTGTTTTTCTAGTCCTTTATAAAAGTGAAAATAATCTCTGGATTTCTTTTTAGTTAACTGAAAAAGGACTAATTATAGTTTTTTTTTCCCTCTACAAGAAAAGTGATGTAAAGTGAAAATTCATAAAGCAGGGAATATCTGCACCTAATATTGTTGAAAGGAAAAGAAATACATGGACTCTTTCAAAGCAATAACCCATAAAAGTGACTAATGTTTCTGAGATCACAAACATCAGTACTGAAAGTCACCTCTCTAAGATGTTCACTTCTCAAATCTAAAATCATCTAGAACCGTAGAATGGTTGTCTTAGGAGAGTTCACTGTATTACCAAACACAAAGAAAACATTTCATTATTACTTTCAAGCAGACTACAGGCTACGTTATTCTTTATAAGAACTATATGATTTCAAGCCACTATACATAGATTTTTTATGTACGAGTATATAAACACTGTATAATTACAAAAGTGAATTTCTTGATTTCATTTAAGTATAAAATTTTAAGTGTATCAAAATAATTTTTTTCATTTTCCTCATTTTGTATATCTATGTAGAATCGTCAGTGCTTTTTAAGGTACAAATTCAAAATTTTAATTTCTCAAAATATATTCCTGTCTCTTCAGTTAGGTTTATTTTACTTAATTTTGATTATTACTGCTTATTTTAGTTTTGTTACAAAATTCTAATAATGAAACTGAATTAATGTGTTTGTAATGACAATAAAATAACAAAATTTCTTAAAATTATGTGCAGGGTAACTTCACAATGCATTTAAAGACAAAATGTTAAAAAATACCAAAGACTGATCATAAAGGAGTACTTAATGCAAAATAAGATAGTATTAATAATAAATATATAGCTTACTTTATTTAGCTGAGCTGCTGCAGCTAATCCAGATGGACCACTGCCAATTATAGCAATTTTTTTCCCAGTTCTAACAGCTGGAACTTGAGGTATCATCCAACCTTTATCAAAAGCATTGTCAATTATAGCACATTCAATATGTTTTATATTTACAGGAGGTTCATTGATGCCAAGAACACAAGCTCCCTAAAATTTAATACAATAATATAAAAATCAGATTTTTACACACATATTAATAACCAATATTTAGTAATAAAAATTAATCTAGCATGCTTTTATATACTCTCCAGAAAAATTAAATACATTAGACAAAAAACCTGATGTTAATTAATGTAAAGCAATTGACACCTATCAACTGAAAAAAAGCAATATCTTAAAAGTAGTAACCTAAAAGAGCACAGAGAAGCTTCTAAGAACTGACTCATATTTATATTATTCACAGAATAACCTTAAAAAGCCCCAAGGACTCAAGCAAAAAAATATGTAGAACACACTGGTTTAATAATAATTGAATTATGCCTAATAGTATGGTTATTGGTAAAAACACATTAGCAAAAAAACATCAGATGAAATCACACACACACACACCAAAAAAAAAAAAAAAAAAAAAAAAAAAAAAAAATAGATAAGTAATCCGTTAAGACAGTGTTTATTAATTTGCGGTCTGCAAACCGCAATTGGTCTTCGAGCCAGCTGATGTGGTCCTCCTAGATTCCCAAAAGGAAAAAAAATATATAAAAATGAAATTAACTACATATACCCCATTATAGATGAAAATCTCGATATCTGAAAATAACTCCTGTCAAATATCTATTACTTTTTCTCTCAAGACTGACATTTTATGAAATTTAGTACCAGTTACTCTACATATGAAGTAAAAGTGTTTTCAGACTTGAAAGCTATCCTTGACTATAATGTTATTTATATGTTATTAAGAAGTGGATAATAAGGATTACACAAGATTAGATAAGCACTACAGCTACTGCTTAATACTACAGTTATAGTTACATATATTATGTTACAGTTACATATGGTGACAACTCTCTTTTTAAGAAAAATAAAAGATTATGCATTTTAAATAATAAAGTTTTTTAACAGTCCTACCAAATCGAGAAACAAAGTTATGATCATTTTCAAAATCTGATAATAGAACACCTCTTTCACAACTTGGTGACAACATTTCTGTTATGTGCAGGAAAATTTACAAGCACCTCTCAATTTGGAGTACTCCTACTAAACTCAGATTAACTCTCATTCACATCTTCATCTTTGTTGCTTTCATTCTGATAACTATTTTGCAATGTGAAATCCTTCTGATTAACCTTTTTAAGAATGTTTTCCCTGTTTCTTTCTATATTCTACTATTGTAAATAGCCTGTTTGTTGAATGTCTGCATTAGTATGGTCTTGATATCTGGTCCATTTGCAAAAATTTAAATATTTAGGTGTAGCTTTAGATAACATGTTTATATTTCTTCTCGGTATTACTAAGAGAGCCGCCACTCTAAGTGCAGACTATATTATGTCTACATCTAATCATGGAAATGGGATGATAGTCAATTTTTTTACACTGAATACAGAAATTTGTTCCTTTAACTAGCCTAAATGGCCAAGGAATGGTAATGCATTAATATAACCATGGCATATTTTCATTTAGAAAAAAATTAATAAACTGGACACAAGCCTTTGCAGACTTTACTTGAGGACTACTATCATATGCTTCTAAACAATGGGAGGGGCAAAATTCTGAGTGGCTGATTTTATAAAATTGCCTAGATGATTACCTATATAAATTTGAGTGAATGTGTACCTTACACAACAGTAAAGAACAAATTTTGCCTTGCATGTTTTATGGTTGTTTTGCACTCACATGTGACAGTAATATACATAATACTGGAAAATTTATGAGCCAGTAACTACAACTGAAATACCCAGCATTTGCAATAAATATTCAATGATATAACAGTTTACTTTGGTAAAACAATTTTGCAGCTTATGTCAAGGAGCACGTTGCTGACTGAGAAAACTAAATCTTACTATTAGATGAAATTAAAATTTAAAGCAAAAGCAGAATTTCAATTTTGAAAGCTTTGGCGTTTGTCTTTACTTTTCATTTTTTGTCACATAAAATGATATTGTTGAAAAATATGAAATTCAAGTCTATCATGTGGAAACAGTTCAATGGTTAGTATTATAAAAAGAGCACATATGTATTCACTGCTTATGAATTATAATAATTTGCATATGCTCTGTATTTTAAATTAAATAAAATTAAAATGTTTTTCCCAAAGTACTTAAATTGTTTTTGCTCAAGAAATATAAATAAGAAAATATCAAAATATTAAAAAGTATTAATAAATATATATATATATAAAGATTATTACTGCCTTAAAATTAAAAAAGATGTATAAAGGCTGCATTTGGTATGGTTACACTAAAATTTTATTAAGGCCATTAAACAAATTGCTAAAAACTCAGATCAATATGCTATATAATGTTTAAAATATTTTTATTAGACTAATGGCATGACATAACACCTGTAGTAAAATGACTTTTTCTTTAGATATTTTTTAAAAAAATTATTCATTTTCTTAGGCTAATCAACCTCTGTAATATGGAAGGTGAGAGATATCGTCAATCTCTCATCTTCCATACCACTTTTAGTAGTTACCTGTACTGGATAAACAATAACACCCTTTTTAAGTGCTTAAAAAAAATTCTAATTTATGTATTATCTCTTTTAACTAGGAAAAAATGTCTAAAAATGAGAAATTCAAATACTTACCTCACATGGAGCAGGACATACACGGCCAGTAAATTCAGGAAAATTATTTGTTTGCAATAATTGATTCAAGGCTTCACGCCAATCATCCTGGATGAAATAAATAAGCATGTAGAAAAACACAAATTATATATGCCAAATATTATTAACATTCATACTCTAGGAAGTATATAATCTGTATGGATTACTATAAACTTCACATCATATTTTTAAAACATTTACATTTGTTTCATTTATTTATAAAACAATGTAAACTATGAGTACAACCTGCTCGAAAAGCTAGTATTTGAGCTGATATAAATCATCACTTAAAGCTTCAAAAAAGTGCACTATATAGAAATTAATATAATTAATATTATCATCAGAATATAATTAATACTATGAAATAATTAATTAATACAATGTGTTAAGAAAGGCATGAATGGCATATAGAATCCAATATGATTATATAGAATTAAATACAAGAGTTCCTGAAAAAGTAGACAGCTGAATAATCTTAAGAAATGTGAGCCAGAAGTTTCCATAAAAATTTTGAGCTTAATAAATATAACACATTTTCAGATTTACAATATTATGTAATTAATGTTCACTTTTTCTTTAAATATGCATATTTAAATAACGTAATGCATGATATGAAATTTTTACTATTGTATTACTTGCCATTATAAATACATTAAAAAATTTCATACTAAATATAAATCATAAATTAAATAGAGTGTTGGAATGTGTTTACATAAAGATGCAGCTTAATTACATGTTGAAATTTCATCAATCATTTAATGCAAGCAAATTATAAAAATGATGCTTCAAAATCAAATGCATATAAATAATTTGGCTATCATATAATATGTGATTTATCACTTTTAGTTAGTTAGTTATTCTTGAGACTGGTGGCATGAAAATGGACTGTTGTTTTAATCATTTCTTTTTCCCTCCATTTTATCACACATTCAAATTTACAAATAGCATTTTAGTGGCATTGCCTAATAAATAAATACTTACTACAAGATTACCAAATGCCTAATAAGAAATACAGGTACCTTAAAAACTAAATCATTCCATTTTGGTATAATATTTCCTAAAGGACATCCATGACTAGATTGACAAAAAGGAACTCCACATTCCATGCATCTGAGGAATAAATTATTTTAATTAGCAAATCTAAAAATCATACACCATACTTCCAAAGTAAAATAACAAATACAGATTAACTAATTTAATATAATAAGAACCAGTTTCTATACAATATTAAATGTAAATTGTTTAATTTTTTTTTAAATGCTAAACAGTAGCAACACATTCACATATAATAAAGATTGTTCATTTTTCACAGGTAGCTTCATGTACTGCAGCAAGTGACAGCTGATAATTCACTATTTACATGTTACTCAAAATGCAAAAACAGCACAATTGTCACATGGGGCACTTGTAAGACAGCACTGTGTGCGTAGGAAACACCTATTTTTTAAGAGTTTTCTACTGGAGGAAGAGGTCTCAAACTCTTAAATTTTGCAAGGTTTTTCAGATAATGTAGAGAACAACTGCTCTGGCTGAAAATCTATTTTCAAGCTTAAAACCTTTACTCGATGGACTGAGAAACTTCCTCTTTAATCATTACTTTACTTAAGCCATACTTGATTTACAAGATTGAATTCTTATTGCGCTGCAGGTTATTTAGGTAATATTTGAATATTCTGATATTATCATCTTTTTCGATAAATTACTTTTTAATATTAGGTAAAGATGTCAAAAGATAACCATATATTAGTGAAAATTGACAAATCAAAGCAACCATATGGTTGATAAAATTTCAGACTTTCGTCTAAGCATTTGAGAATTAGTGGGTGAAGAGGGCATAAAACTTATCTGCTATATTCAGTTTTTGACAGGAAAATACATTTGTCCATGCAGTGCATTTACAGAATTTATGCCACAGGTACTAATGATGCAGTTAAAGTTAATCCATGTGGAAACTATGTTGACATATACACATGCACACATACATACTATATATATACAAACTGGGACATCAATATAAAATAGATTAGTCATGAGGTTTACAGGTATGGCTCAGAAATGAAGGTACAGTAATGGTACAGCAGTTATCATCTTCATGATCTCTTCAAGAAAAGCATTATAGGACTATGTAATTATGGGTATACAGCATCATGTTAGCCATATTGCTTAACTTTTTTGACAAGGTACATCAACAGTACAGCTATGGCATCCTCGTCTTATAAAAGAAACAAAGCCTTTTACTATTAGGAAACAATCAAAATCCTCACAATGCAGAAAAATTATTTTTCTTGAAATCAAGAATATTTTTGTGAGCAGCAGATATATATACTTGTTTGGCCTGAAGTTAACCTTTAAAATTTCAATGAGAAAGTCATTGACCTTTCTTAAAAGTGTCACTTAAATAGGCAATTTTAAGCAGCCAATTTCTATCAATTAGTCAATCTTCAATTCAAAATTCTATTCTTAAAGGAAGAAAAGAAGGTTGTGTATTCGAATCATGTTCAGGTCACCATAGAAGAGGTGGTTGCTATTGAAGGTGATATTGGTTAACCTGACTCCTGACTATGATTGAAACAGTATTCAATATAAAAAATATATTTTATTATACACACAGGAATGAGATTCTGCTTTTTAAGGAAAATATATGCCAAAAATGTATGCATTTTGGCAAATTGTACCGTATTGAAAACAACTATAAAAAATTTTAAAAATAACCAAGAAATGTACTCTGGAACGATGAAACATAAATAAATTAATTTGAAATGGCTGGGAAGCAGTTTATCTGCAATTGCAATACCAAGCATATCATCTAAAATATACAAAGAAAATTGTTAAAGATGGTGAGTATTGTGTTGTGGGTTTTGTTTTCCTGTGGTATGATGTGGGCCCAATTTTTCACATAGTCTTTTCATATAATACCAAAAAGGTAAATGTGGATATCTTAGAGAACACATTATTATGATGAGCAGAAAACATATGCTACTGAAATGGCATTTTCCACAAGATAACAATCGGAAGCATTTAGCAAAGTTGACAAAAAGCTGGCTCAAACAAAACAAGATTATGTCTCACCAAGGTGCTCTCAGATACCTGACCTAAATCCAGTTGAAAGCTCATGAAATGAACTAAAAAAAGTACATTAAACCTTGTCCCCAATCAAATTTGAGCAACTATCCCCAATCAAATCAAATTGTCCCCAATCAAATTTGAGCAAGCTATGAAAAACTGGGAAAGATGCATGGTATTGTGTGCTTGTTGAAAAAATCTCAAAAATTAGTCCACTCCATGCAAAACAGAATTAATACAGTACTTAAAAACACTTTTGTAACAAATGCTAATAAAAAAAAAATTAAATTTTTTAATAAAACACTTTTTCTTCTCATTTACTATGTGTTTCTATTTTTCTGGCAATGTGTTTTTTATCTAGTTCAGAGGAAAACATTATGGCAGAAAAGTCACCCCAATAATCAGTAAGGAACAGAATCAATAAATTATATCACTAGTGCCCACACAACACCTACTAACCATGAATTAAAAAGGTTATACAGAAATTATTCTTAAGCTTGAAAAACAAAAGTATTTACATCTTTTGCACTGTACTAGCTAAAACAAAACTGTAAAGAAGCATTATCTGGAAGATGTCCACTGTCTTCAGATGACACTGTGTAGCAGAAATTACTGAACATCTGGGCAACAAAAAATACTAAATAATAGCACAATAATAATAACAATAATAAAATTAATACATACTGTAGCATTACTCTGGCAGTTACATTTTAATATGCACAATTTGCCTCATCTTTAAATAAGAATAAAATGACTAAAAGTAACAAAGTAATTTTAGAATGCATTTTATCATTTTAAACCTCCTTAAAAATGTAGTAGTAATAGTAGTAGTAGTAATAATAATAAAGAAGTAACTCATGCAAATACAATACATAAATGTACATTATTCTAAGGGAGTACAAAACTCCAGTAAATAAATATACACTTCAGTTTGCAGCTGTTAAAAACTAAAGCACCTTTAAGTAAAATTCTCACATTACATATCAATTTAAACACAACAATTTGAAAAAAAAAATATTCAGTATTTATTAGTTCTTTGAAACTGCGATCCTCAACCTCACACTAAGCATGCTCGTAAGAAAAATTATTAATATCTTTCTTAATGTTTAATTCTCTCAGGAATTTTAAGTATCTGCTCACCACAGTAGAAAATGCTGGGAAAGGAAAAAATTATGGAATTAAAAATAATAATAATAAAAAAATTACATACCTAGCTGCTTGCACTTTAATAGTTTTTCTAACGCCTTTAAAATTATAAATTTCATTCCAGTCATGTAAACGTTCTGAAGGTTCTCTGTATGGATTTGTCATTCGCTGATATTTCATAAAACCTCTAAAAATGTGAAAAAATTACAAATTACTTGTTTTTTTCTTTTTTAAAGATAGAACAGTTATCAAACTAAATTGTACATATGTATGCCAATTTTTATCAACCTTGGAGATAAAAGCAATATCAAAATGTAAAATCATTAAAAAAATATTCTCTTTGAATTAAAATTAATTTTATAAAGAACAGTCTAAATAACTTCCACAACAAAATGTAGAGACAGTAGAGTTATACATTTATATATATATATACAGTCAAAAGTCGTTAATACGGACTCGTCAGGACTTCGGCGATTCCGGATTATCGATTTTTCCGGATTATAGATCATCAGTTTAAATCTCGTAAGATGGCATGCAGAAATTCTAAAATTAAAAATATGAAACCGTAATTTATAAAATAATGAGCAATTATGATCTAAAGGGTATCAAAATTTACAAAAAAAAAAAAAAGCTTAATATTTATTTGTTTACTTTATTAAACATTTCTTTCAATGTAAGTTGTTTAAGTTGCTTCTTTTTATGTGATAATACTTTCTCTTTAATTCTATAAACAGACATAATTTCTTGTTCAGTTACAAAGTTCCGCTAATTGCTGTGCCGAGAATACCGACTAACTTGTCAATCGAAATTTTTTCGTTTTCACTAACCTCTCTGTCACATTCTTCATGTCTTTATCCATTTTTTGCAGCAATTCCACTTTTTGTTTGTTGGACATCGAAACATACTTTCGTTTTGTAGATCCTTTGGAAGTTCCAGCATCGGAAATTCTATTTGACATAATCGAAAGTTCAAGTTTACTTTTATAAAATTGCTCTTACAGTCTGCAAAAAATAATAAGCGGGATCCAATTCGAAGTTTAAGGAACAACGCAATCATTAACATTAACTGAAATATATAATTAGATAATTTTAGCTTACACCGTCCGTTATACATTAAATGCGCAGGCAAAAACGTATTCTGCACTTGCGTACACGCATATGCGCAGTAGTCAAGGTTGCCAACGCGGCGCATGCGGAGAAAGTTTTTAGCTTTGAGGTCCAGATTATAGATCATTCCGGATTATGGGTGTCCGAATTAACGACTTTTGACTGTACTGTGTAGCAACAGTAGAGTTATATATTTATAAATATGGGTGGACTATTATATGGATAAAAATCATGCACATAAATTTACAATATTCATAATTAACTTTTAAGGAATTTACCTTCAAATATTACAATCTAGTAAAAGTAGTACTCACCTCACTTTATCAAGATTATCAGGAATTACATCTTCGATATCTTTGACAGTAGCTGTTTTAGTTGCTTCTATTGCACTTGTTGGTCCATTAGTCATGACCAATTTTTCTTCTTCTGCTTGTCGTAAGGCACGTTGGTACTCTTTTGGAAACACCTAAATGTAGTAGTAGTTGTAAAACATTAATGCACAGAATATCATGAATGAAATAAAGGATAAATTTATAAGTTCATCAAATAAATTATTAAAAAAAATTTAAACAGCATAAATACAGAATTTCATACTCTTTCCAAGAACCAGTAAAAAATAGTTTCAAAATTATGTAACTGTAAAATCTGTTAAATATACGAAGATCATAAATACATAAATTTACCTTTACAAAGTTTTTAGCTGAAGCAGGCCAAGTGGACAGTAAGCGCTGAGCAACTGCAGAGCCAGTTTTTTCAAAAAATTCTTTTAATAAATTTTCTACAAAATTAAGATCTTCAGAAAGCTCTAGAGGTAGCAAGTCTACCATCATCAAATTGCTTCTAGATTCTAGGGAACGTTTCCTTTGGTATAAGAAAATAAATTAGTACATTTTTAGTTGATTAAATAATTTGTGTTTATAATGTTACATATTTAAAGAATACAGTATTTTTTATTATGAAAAGTGCTAAGTAACTCAAAAAAGAAGTAACTCATGCAAATACAATATAGCCACAAAATGCTTTTGAAATTAACTTTATTCCTCAAACTTTATTATTTATATTATTGTATGCAAATATTTTACTTTATAATTCTACATAAATATTTTGTACAGAATAAGTATGAAATGAATCTATAACTAAACATCTACAAAAATTTGCAAGTTTCCAAACAGAACAAAGAAAGTCTTCCCTAAAAAAAAAAAAAAAAAAAAAAAAAAAAAAAAAAAGAGAGAGAGAAATTTGGTCAAATAGTATAAAAATACTGAGATGAAATAAATTTGCAAAATATCAACTGTTTCTCCCAATCATTGCATTAATATAAAACACTTAAAATGTTCTTAAAAGCAATAGAAACAATCCAATCTCCTTTGTTGCCAGTACAAAATAATTGGTCATCTGCATCAGTTAAAGTTGAAGAACATAACTCTTCTACTATTGAAAGACATTTGTAAATTAGGTTGTAAAATATCAGTTGCTTCTAACAATCATTGAATTAATATAAAATACTTAAAATATTTTTAATATGTTCTTTAAAGCAATAGAGACAATCTCCTTTGTTATGAATACAAAATAATTGGTCATCTGCATTAAGTTAGAGAACACATTTCTTTCAATAACTTTTGATGGAGACTAAATAAACTGGTCCAGATGAAGAACAGGTTTCCCAAAAAATTCAGTTAATATTGTAAAGCTAAACAGCTTTACAATATTAACTGAACTGAATACTGTGAGTCATACACAGTATTTTTATCTATTATGCAATTTATCACAAAGACATCAAAATTTTAAAAAGTGTAAAATTAAATATTTAAGTTATCTGAGTTAATCTGTATTATAGATATAAATGTTTATAAGAAATTAATAGTAAAGTTAAATAAAATTAAAATTAAGTAATTTTCTTGCACCATTGCTTCAAGGAAAGAAATGAAATTAGTTCGCAGCAATAATATCTCAAGAAATCAGAATGATTTGTATCTGCATAATATCAGAAATATAATATTAACCATATTCACATATTATCTTTATTTTGTATATTTGCAGGGAAAAAATTTCAAATTAATTTTGTTTTACCAAATATTACTTCTCAAACAAGAAGCCTTAACATGTTGAATTTGCTACAAAAGAATAACATAATTTAGTAGAAGGCAAAATAAGGGTCATAACTTTAGCATAGCTTAGAAGGATATGACCTGGAATATACATTCTGATTTCACAATGATATGGAATTCAATTCAATGATATTTAAAAATAATATGCAAGACTGTGTTGAAGACTTAAATATGCAACATGAAAATTATATTAGCATTTCTCATAGTTTAACTTTATTTCAGTACTGATATCTTAATATAGTGAGTATAATGGTGAACATAATGAGAGTTGCTGCTATTAAAAACCAATAATTTAAAGATTTTTCCACAATTTAAAATATAAGCTGCAATAAATATTTATATATTGTAAATTTACTTAGTCACTAAATACACATTAAAATATGTTAAATTCATTATAATTGCAGTATTTATTTCATATAACTTCTTAAGAAAATGAAGGAAACAAAGTTATACACGCTAAAAAATTCCAACTTCTCTTTTCATATACATTAATCTTACTCAGTTATTAATATTTATATAGTAAAGAGCTATTCTTACTTCCACAGGTATTTAGAGCATAGTAGAATGTAAACATACATACTATGAATTTTAAAACAATACTCAAAAATATAAATCACTTATTGCAGGAACAAGATTATCTACACATTATTCTCAAATTTTTCATAATCTTCAGAATACAACAAACTTCAGTGCAAATCATTATTATACACACTTTGTGAACAAAACATTGAAAATTTAACAATTCATAACTTTTTATATTATTATTAATTAAAAAAAGTAAAAAAGTCAAGAAAATAAATTATAAATAAAGCTAAAATACAAATTTACTAATAGTACATTTAACGATTTTCCAGATCAAAGAAATATTAAAATTAAGGATAAAAAAGTTTGGATTATAATAATTCTTCATCATATGTATAATTTCTCATTAAAACATATATTGTAGTACATAGTATAATCACAGATAAATATTATATGCATGTATCACAATATTATACTGTAATATGCATTGTAATATATTTTAGAAACTGAATTGCTTGCTTACTCATCTAAAACATAAGCTATGCCACCAGACATGCCAGCAGCAAAGTTTCGTCCAGTAGGGCCCAGAATCAAACAAAACCCACCAGTCATATATTCGCAACCATGATCTCCAACACCCTAATAAATAATTTTGAAAAGTTAACATTTCTTCAAGCAAAAAATTTCTGCAAAAAAATTAACATGTTTTAGGAGTAACAGTTAAATTTAATAAAAATTCATATATACTAGAATGATCGTTTAGATATTTATTAAAATAAGATGATTTATATCACAAAACAAATAAAACTGAATGAAATCTATTACATATTCCCAATGCTGACTATTTTATTACTACATATTATTGCTGCCACTACAAGTCCCATATTAAAATGAGAGGAAAATATTTTTCAGAAAATCAAAATAACAGGAATAGATTTATAAAAATTATAATCTCAGAAGAGATTATTGCAGATAACTGCATGCTTACTTCTTCTTTCCTGTTATATATGATTGTTTGGAGGAGGCTAAATTTATTTTCCAATGAGTGACACTTTAATTATAAAATTAGCATCTCTTGACATAAGGTATGATGCAATAACAGTGGTGATATATATATACATATGTTAGTGTAAAAGCCCAAAGTCTGGTAAATCCTAGGTTTTACCAGTAAAACCTAGCTTTTACGAAAGTGACTTGGTAAAAGTCTGAAGCATGCTTTAATATAATTCCATTTCAGCCTTTTACCAAGCCTTTGTGGTAAAACCTAGGATTTACCAATGCCTTCTGGTAAAAGCCAAAACGAGGGATTACTTATGACAGGAAATTGCATTCGCAGATATATTGTATACAATGTGACCCAAAAAGGTTAAAACACACTTTAATTTTTTAATTGATAATATAAACTGTAAAAGTGGGCAAAATAAGGTATAATTTAAGATTATGTAGATGGAACTGTCTTACAATTATTTTTCAAAGAGTTACAAGAAATAAAAATAAAAATGCAATATTCACAAATAAGATCCCATGTGAAAAAGCTGAACTAATGCATAATTCTCTCCATAACTGCCAAAGAGATTTCAATAATTTTAGCAACAATTAAAAAATATTAAATTGACAGCTCATAAAAAATAATAAAAGTAAAAATTATGAAATAAAAAAAAATAAAAAATATATGTTTTTCTTTAATGTTTCTTTCTACCTGTTACAACAGGGCTGACTGTTATAGCATTTTGAAATACAAAGCACATCAGCTGCTTTGCACAAACACATCTTCACCGACACTTATTTGAACAGTTCCATTTTCTGAGTCCTTGCCCTTCAACTAAAGATTTTGTCAGAGATTAGGTTTCAGAAAGTTTTCAGTAGACGCAATCTTCATTTTCTTTGCAAAGTCCTTCTTTAACTGCAGGGGCGTAGCTAGAATTTCCAGCGCCCGGGGACAACTGAAGAATTGCACCCCCTTTCTGTGTGCCAAGAATGGAAAACATTTCATTAAAAAATTTTGTAGCATCAATCTGGAGCCCCTTGGATGCTGCGCCCGGGGACAGATGTCCCCCTTTGCCCACCCTAGCTATGCCACTGCTTAACTGTCTCCTGAAATGCTTTCACATTTTGAACTTTGTTGATAATCACACACATTTTGTCAGTATTTTTTGTCCCCCAATTTGAATTTCAGTATCTACTTCCATCATTATCGATTTTTTTCCACATGCATTATTATCTAAAATAAATTGTTGATTCGAGATCAGTGCCTTCCTTTTCTGTATTGACCATGCATTCATTATTATTAATACTTATAATTTTTTCTTTAGTGGCCATGTTACTAATCAAATTACATGGTAAAACTGAGTTAGCGAGTCATAGGACAATCAAACATAGCTTTGTAGGGTGAACATTTGAGTCCCTCATGATCTGCTTTGTTTTTCATTGCTTGAACAAATTTTAATTCTTCTAACTGCTTTTTTGTCTTTTTTGTTTCCTTCCATATTCCCAACATGTTCTCATGCTCTTGGTTCGCTCGTTCAACAGAATCCTGCTATTGACTGTATCTCGGTTTACTATGAACTACTTTTATAGCACTCCACATTTTACCTAAACTGTTTATGATTTGGTTGCAAAATTCCCTTCTTTGTTGGAATGGAGAATGTTCAGGCCTCCAAAAGCTGTGAAAATATCCAGAAGGTGATATGCTACTACATCAGCTCTTTTACTGCATAAACTTCAGAATAGCCCAAATTTTGCCAGACGATCTTGATACACTAAAATGAATTTCATATCATGATTAGGATTGGATTGCATATCTATTAGGTTGACTTGGGATTGAGAATTCATTTCGCTATGCACAATTCATTTGATTACAATCCCCTTTTTTGCAGTTTTTTACTTTTTCTGACATGGTTCACATAGTCTCAAATGCACAATGATAAATTCTACTGTTACATTCTTGTACTCGTGATTTAGTTCCTTAATCATACGGGTTTTTCTGCCATGGCAAATTATGCCATGAGTATCGTGTATGACATTGAACACTTCATCAATTGTAATATTAATACAGGATTTCTGTAGATAGTGATGCTATAAGTTTGTTCTCTCCTCCAATATTTAGAATATCACAGTGTTTCAACCTTTTATGATGAACTGTTTGTTTCTTCTTCCCACATTTTGCTTCGTTCACTTCATTTATTTAAGATGTGTATTTCTCATTTGTTAAATAAAAGCTGTTACCTTGCTTATTTTTAGAGACTGAAACAAAATGTCATAAAACTTTTTCCACATAATATTATTCATTTCCTTTCATCAAAATAAAAAGTGTAAAATATCTTAAAATGGCAACAAGCTGCTTCTGTTTTAGATTGTAACTGCTTAATCGCTCAAAGCTAGACCACAAATGGTGGAAATAAGGAGTGGCAGTAACAGAAAAGCATCGTGATGGACTCTGTGTATGCATGCTTATTCAAGGTCACTTTAAATCCCTCGCTTTGGGCTTTTACTGGAAGGTGTTCATAACTCCTAGGTTATACCACAAAGGCTTGATAAAAGGCCGAAATGGAACCATATTAAAGCATACTTCGGACTTCTACCAAGCCACTTTGGTAAAAGCTAGGATTTACCAGACTTCCGGCTTTTATAGTGATATATATATATATGTATAAAGAGTTGCTACAGAACTAATATTCTAAAAGTCATTTTATGCACAAAATGTCATGCCAGCTTCATCTTTTGCGATATCTTTCGGAAATGTTAAAATTTTACAAATTATTATTATAGCATTACAAGTAACAAAATTAGTTAAAACTATTTAAATTTTAATTAAATTTGATAAAAGAACTGATAATTAATATTATGACTATCACATTTGTGGAACATCCAGTATCCACGAAAATATTAAAATGACATATAAATCTATTTTGAACTTTTCTCATGGTACAATATAATTATATGTAAAAGATAAAAGAGTAATTTACCTCTATTACAGCTGTAGCACCAGAATTTCTTACACAAAATCTTTCAGCTGCAATACCTCGGAAAAAAGCTTTACCAGATGTAGCACCATATAAACAAACATTTCCAACAATAATATTCTCTTCAGATTTGAAATCAGGAGGCAAACGAGTTGGTGGATAAACAATTACAGTTCCACCAGAAAGGCCCTGAAATTAAACATTTGTAAATAAATATGATTTAGTTTTAAAAATGTAAATATTTTCAGTACAACCATAATAATGAATTACCTTTCCCACATAATCATTAGCATCGCCTTCTAATTCAACACATATTCCTCGTGCCAAAAATGCACAGAAGCTTTGACCAGCTGAGCCTTCTAGTTTTATCTTAATACTATTATCTGGTAAACCATTAGCACCATATTTCCTGAGGGAAAAATAATTTATATATAAAATATTTTAAAGAAATACATTATTAGATGGTTATGTTTAAAAAACAAATACAATACTAAGTCAGAAATCTAGATATCCAGTATCCAGAATGATCTAATATTTAGATCCTCAGGTCCTTCTAAAAATTATTCCCTCCCCCCACCTTCACAAAGTACAGAATAAAGACTATAATTCTCAACAAAAGGAAGCAGTTGTGCCATAAATGTGATTATTTCCCAATGAACTGCATACCACTTTCAGGCACCTGCTGATTAGGGAGTTCAACAGGGCCATAGACAATACATTGACTGACATTATATTGATGTCGCCCAGGATCACACTTTCAACTCTTGTATGGTTGCAGAGGGTCAGCATTCTTCTATGTGACCTAATTAATAAGTGAAGATTCAATGTTGCCATGTCTACATGGCATCTCACTAATTTTAAACTAATGATCTAAAATACAGAAATTTTCAAAAACCAGAATAGCTGAAGTTCCAAGAATTCTGGATTTCAGACTTTTGTAATGTATAGCAGGAATTTAAAAAAAAATAATGAATCTATAAAATACATGTAATGAAATTCCTATCTAAGACATTAGGATTAAAGAAATTACACGAATAAAACATTTAACTACAAACATGCTAAACAATCAGTTTTATTTTCCATTAAACTTATATTAATTATGCTCTAGGAATTCTATAAACATAATATATTTAAGCTTAAATGATTAATTTCATAATAATACCGTCTTTTTCTGAAAATAAGACACTGTCTTACTTTCGTTTTTGGGCCAAAATATGCGCTAGGGCTTATTTTCAGGGGAGGGCAAAAATAAAAGTATATTTACATATTTTTATTTAATATTTATTTTATACAGAAATTTAAATTTATTCAATTACTGTCATGTCATCTTCTTCTGGAACATCGTCATAAATAAAATTCTGAATTATATTCTGATTTTCTTCTAAATCCACTTCCTGTTCAATCATTGGTCCAAATCTCTCATGTCTTGCGATATAGCTATCATTAAATGTACTTCTTGTCTAAGTAGCCTGTTCGTAATGCATTGGAAACATCATTATCAGTTATTTTGTCCCATGAATTTTTTATCCAATTCACAACTTCTTGTAAGCCTGGTTTTATAAAATTACCTTGATGATTTCTCACCATTCTGTTTTCAATATATTCATTGATTTCCATCTGCAAATGATCCTTGAATGGCTTGTTTATTGCAATGTCAAGTATTTGGAGGTAACTAGTCATTCCTGGTGGAATCATTATTTGATCAATCTTCCTCTCAGCAAGAAACTTTTTCATGTCTTTAACGCAGTGAGTACTGGCTGAATCCCAAACTAGTAAACCTCTATTCTGACCCCTCAGCAGTGGTGGCAGCATAAAATCAACCCACTTTTTTATAACTGCTTGGGTGCACCAGGCATTTTCACTTTCAATGACATAAATTCCTGAAACACGTTGAATCTGGTCTTTTTTACCTTTGGTGATTTAAACTTTCTTGCCATCTAGACAAATGGCCAAAATACAGGTAACCCGTGCACTATCGTAACCGGTAGAAAGAACGTAAATTTACGAAGAAGCCTGTGGTGAACTGTCGTTTGAGATCCTTGGCCTAGGAATACCGCAGTCTCATCCATAGCAATTATGTTGGAGAGTTGGTATTTTCGAAAAATTGATGCCATCAACAAAAAGCTTAAATGCAAGTGCAGGCTTAACAATTTCATTTTCTTCCAGCTTAAACAATGTTGTTGATCTCCTTAGAGACAGTTCATATCATTTAAGGAAGTTGTCCAACCAGTGTGATGATGCTTTAAATTCTTCTGTGGATATATCAAATTCAATTGCTGTTTCAAGGGCAAATTTTTGAATATCAGCCCTGCACACAATCAAAGCCATTGCTCTCCTGCCTGCAATCCCTTCCCAGATGCAATCTTCCAACTCAGAAAATAACGGCTGCTGACCTGATCCAACTCTGCATTTTTTCTCATTTCCTTGGTCCACCAATTGACACAGGTAATCATAGTCTGCACGCCATTTATGAACCATATGGAGATCCAGCATCTTCTCTTTACAGAATGCTACAAGATTTACACCCCTGGAGTCTTCCATCATAATCACCTGGAGTCTTCCATCATTCATCATAATTCATTGTTTTCAGAATTAAATTATTTAATAATGTAAAAAACAAATTACATTCATCAAACAATAAAAAAACTTCCAATTAATAAGATTTTGAAATTTTGAATTAAAATTTAAAATAACATGAATATTGCATAATAATCAAGAAGCTGATATATTTCAAAAGATTCAAAAATGTATAATATACTTAGCAATATGGTAGCTCAATGTGGACCCAAATGCTCTATCAACATTAGTTATATCCATATGAATTGTGACATCTTTCTTCTTCCGATCTATAACATCAGCTGCTTGTTTAATCAAGAGATTATCCTGAAAGTAAAAAGAATTTATAATTAGATAGGAATATATGACATTTTAAGAATATTAAAAAACATCTCAGTAAAGAATTATTTTTAATAAAAGTACATAAAATATAAGTGACTACATAAATTCATACAATTCTATTTTCCAACTGAAAATCTTGCTTGAGAGATCCTCCAATAATACATGTCCCAGGTCTTAAAGATAAAGCATCTAAAAGAATAGCTGAGTAATCAAGCAGCCGGGATTTGGGGTTCTTTTCATTATGATACATACGTAATAAATCAGTCCGACCAATAAGATCTTGGAACTTGCGAATACCCAATTCAGCCATATGAGAACGAACCTGTATTAAAAAAAATCTATATGTTATAGATTCATAGGTTCACAAGATTAGGCAATGAATACCTTGTTAAATAAAACATTTTTTTTTCATCATAATTCATTACAATTTGTTTAAAAAAGATATTTACTACACAAAGTTTCATACTGAAGACAAAAATATTTCATAATAGTCCTTTGGGGCAAATTGCCCCTTTGGACTAATTATTGGAAGAAATATTTCTAAATTACAACATTTAAGTGAAAAATATAGAAACCCTTTTACTATTGATTGGAGAATACAATGTATTCCATTCATGAGTTGTTTCTTTAGAGAAAGTTACATTAGTTAAGTATTTAAACACTTAGCTGCACAAATTTGAACAAAAAATAACAAGTTACTATCCCATTTATGTTTGTTCAACATAAATCCAACAGGCAGTAGTCCAGTCCTCAAAAGTTCTGTTCCAACATATTTGGAATGCAAATGATAATTCTAAGGTTTAAGAACAAAATAAAATTTGAAAGAAAATAAAATCTAAAGAAATAAAGAAAAAGTGTAGGAAAAGTATGAGCAATTATTTTCTCATAATAAGAACAGCTTACCAAAAATATGGTAATCTGACTAAACAGCATAGAAATTTCACTATATATTTGTTAGACAGCTATAAAATATGGTTTCTCCAATTTGTTGTCTTATTTGAGCTCCAATATGGTTTCTCATATTTGAGCATTCATTCCAAATATAAATTCCTCTTCCTGGAAACAAAAACTCATCATAGGTTCTATAGCCATATTCTGGACACTTCTTGATAAAATAAAAACTTTTTTTGAAACAAACAACAACAACAAAACAAAACAAAATTAAGCTGTATGAATAGCAAGTAGTATTGAATTATGACTGTTTCAAAAACATTGATTGTGAGTAATGCTATCCATCTCACTATACTCAATAAAGCCACACAGAGAAGTTAAATCATAAAAAAAAAAAAGAAAAAAGAGAGGGGGGAAAGAAAGAAAACCCTCAAACGAGAAAAAAAAAAAAAAAAAAAATTATTCTATAAAGTGGTTTTTCAGATTTCAGAGCACATGAGAGTAAAATGAAGTTGTTCTTACATCTATTTTGAGCTATACCTATCATGTTTTTGATATGCTGCAAATGGAACTAATTGAGATCTGAAATTAAATGAACAAGAAATTGTTTTCTTATATCATGATTTTTTTTTTATATTTTATGAAAAATGTTCCCTTTTAGATTCTGATCCATATTTTAAAATAACCAATTTCACTGTTTAGAAGCACACATCGTAATGAACATCAATTTTTTGTGCAATAAAATAAATATAAAACACAGATTTGTCCAGACAGATGAACATGTTAACAGAGCTCTGAAATCACTGCATCAAATGAAGAAGTAAACACTGATTAATAAGATAAACCAATGCTAATCTTCACATTAAGTAAGCAAATGAACAAACTTAATATGACTTCATGACTTCAAATTTAATATGAACAAACTTAACTTCATGACTTAACAATGAAAAATAGATTATTATTGTGGGAAATAATTTTTTTAGTTTATCCCTGTACAAAGTTGTAACACATTTTACAGTCTATATCTATATTTTTCTTTTTTATTATTGTTTTTTCAGAAAATAAGATAATAAAATATTTAAATCTGCAGCATTTAATTTTATACTGTATATTTTATGCTATTTTTGTTTAATTATTTTTATGAAATATGCTACAACCTTTGTATAGTGAGTAGTATGCAAAAGTTTTAAACTTCCCTTTAAAATGGTTGGACAATCCTGATATTTTTGTTAATATGGTAATAGTCAGAGTTGTAGCTAGGGTGGGGCGCATGAGAGGACACCTATCCCCAGGTGCAGCATTCAGGGGATGCCAATTGATGTTACAAAATTTTAGAATGAAATGTTTTCTATTCTTGGCACTCTGAAAAGGGCACAAAATTTTCAGTTGTCCTCGGGTGTTGAAAACCTTAAGCTATGCCTCTAGTCACAATAAGTGGATTTGAGCTTGAGCTAATTAATCTTGAGAATGAGTTAATCTGAACCATCTTCACGACTACAAAAAACAGATATTGTACTTTCCAACTTTCACTAAACAAAAGCATCAGTTCTAAAGAGGCCATTCAGCAAAGGATCCATGAATAATAATAAAAATATTTTTACATTATTATTATATAATTTTAATTATGTAAAATATTTTTATTATAAACCTAAACACAAGTCTATTCAAAAGCAACAGGATATTAATTTATAAAAATCAGCATGAAAGAAATGAATGAAAAACATTTCATTGGAAAAGTAAGAAAACTAAATGGGAAAAAAAGATAATGGAAAAAAGAGAAAAAAATTAATTTCAGGTATGCATTATTTGCAAAAATATAACATATTCTAAAAATAAACTGTACAAAATATAGACAGATATAGGGTAGCATTCAGATTTTAAAAAAAATATATTATTTTTACTTCATCAAAAGTTGCAAAACAATTTATGCTTTTATTAAAAATACATAGTGAATGCTAAACACAATACAATGATAAAATTTTGAAGATTTTTTTTAGAATTACAAATAAAAAAAATTATCAAATATACAATATATCAATCAACTTAGTGACAAAACATAATATGGAATATAATGCATTTCATATTTCTCATAAGTCTAGTTTGCAAGAGCAGAAGCCAACGAATTTTAAATACATTAATTTTTACTGCATTACACAACACATTTCATGGTATAAAAACTCATAAGCTATAAATATATAAATCCAAATAACACTTACATCTTCCGCAAGCATGAAAAGATAATTAACCAGATGTTCAGGTTTTCCTTCGAATTTTTTCCGGAGTTCTGGGTCCTGTAAAGAAAGCAAAAAACTAGCAAATAAAAACTGATCAAGTATACTTTTCAGATATGGCTACTGTACCCGTTCTACACCTCTATTAGATGACAGCAGAGCAGATGGTTGACCACATTCTCAGATAGCTAAATTTAATTTATTCAATGGAAAAACACAGAGAGAAATAAACTGAAATAAAAATATAGTTTAAAGCAGCTAGTCCAAGTAAACCTAAAACTCCAAATTAAAAAAAATAAAAACAGCTGTGGTTGCTTCCTGCAATTTGTAGATTTCACTCCACTTGCAGCATTTCCTCACCTGAGTGGCAATGCCGACAGGGCAGGTGTTCAAATGGCACTTCCGCATCATTGTGCATCCAAGGACTATCAAAGGCGCTGTCGAAAAGCCAAATTCATCAGCCCCAAGTATGGCAGCAACCACAACGTCGAATCCTGCGCAGGAAGAGAAGAAAATGGGAAAAGAAAATCACTTCTCATGGATGACTTTTCACCTCGGCAGAAGAACTAACAATTGTAGTTTGGATTACAGGCACTTTCATCTGGATTGTGGTAAAACTTACTCCTGGTACTTACATAACAATTGCTGATGGCAGGAATGTCATAGGCAGGGATGATAGTATCATTTATGATTATCACCTTTACATGCATCTGCATTGTCTACTAACTAAAATTTTAAAACTATCACATTCACAATGAATTTTTAACATGTCTTTAATAAAGAAGTTTATATATTAAAATGTTTTAGGTCTAATATGCAAATTAGAAGAAATATTCTATGGGATATGAAGCGTAATCAAGAGATGCATGAAAATTTGTTTAATCATGTAGACAGATTTTACTAAATTTAAAGTACATGTTTAAACTAACAAAATACATATTTTGAAATAATGTGGTAAATAACTGTGGTAGCTCAATATTCCAAATCCTCCTGATACATGGCAAAGTATGTCCCCTTACAAGAAACTTTAAAAATGTTATATCCAGTATAAAAAATATATAATATAATGGCACTGAAAATAATTCACCAAGAGCTTATTCTATACCTGTTCGAATCTGACCATCAGCCTGTAGTACAACTCGAGATCGAAGATCATTTTGAACAAGTGTCTGATGAGTTTCAGCAATTCCAAGCTCCCATGGAAGTCCAGCTCCTTTTATTCCAGTCCAACTACTAGCTCCTGTACCTCCATCATGACCAGATATTGTGATGTGCTCTGCTTTTCCCTATTGAAAGAAATATTAAACTTTATAAAATAATTAATACAAAATATAGAGATTATAATTCATACATAAAAATTTGTCTCATAACTCAGCACTTTCCTTTTTGTTCTGCATAAGACATCAAAGTTAGCAAAAAAAAAAAAAAAAAATGTTTTGCAATATGCTGAAACATGTACTATGATTCCACTATGCAAGTATGCATCTGAGTGGCTAACTCAGCAAGCAAGCAAGCACATGAAATTGTATTTTATTTTTAAGACAATTTATTATTAATTACAAAATTAGAGATTTTTTATTGAAAATAAATGTTAAATATAAAAGTAATTGAAAAAAGTATATTTTATTAAAGGCTTATAAAATTTTGATATTGCAAAATTATAATAATTCATTTTAAGTGGTAATTTATTTCATTAGAAGGAACATGAAAAACAATTTTTTTAATGCACTATTTCATTTTTTAATTTATTTGTATTTTGTAGTATATCACCAATGTTGTTTTCCTAAAATATTCTTAATAGTTATATATTAAACATCTATAGGAAAACTATAAAAAATTGAGGAAAACTTGAATTAAAAAAGGTAATGTTTGCTATAATCAAATTAATACTATAGGTAACTGCACTAGACAATCAAATTAAATCAAAACATTATAATCATTGTCCATATGTAAATCTCTTAAAACAATTCATAAATAATTTATTTTTTTTTATTTAAGAACATCTGCGCAAGATTCTATTTGATAAAAATAACACAACCATTTATAAGGATTTAAAGAATTTAACAAACATTAAATGATTAATGCCAGTTAATGATAACACTAAACAATGATTAACATTAAAATAATTATGTGAAGTTGAAAACCTTTTCACTTGTATTTGTCTTTGATTCAAGATTAGGCATGGATGTAAAAGTATTGCAGAGCTAATTGAAAATGATTTCATACTTTTTTAAAAGATCAAAAGTAAAAAAAGTAAAAAAAAAAAAAAAGAAAAAAAAAGCTGAAATTTTCTAAAATTAATATTAATCTGAAAATATGAAAAAATTCATTTAGAAAAGTGATAGCAAGTTTGACTTACCTGAAATTTTACTACCAGAAGATATAAGATGAGAATGGTAGTATTACCATGTATAAGGAATGTTAGTACTGTCTCAAGGACTATATTAAAAACTCCAGTCGGTTTTATATTGTAATTATTTGAAACTTGTGTTCCAAATTACAAAATAAAAATTATATAACTTAAACATCCTCCGGGTTTCTATGAATTTTATTTCTTCTAGCACCATATAGAAATAGGCAAGTCTTTGCATAACAAATTAAAACCAATAATAATGCTAAATCAATAAAAAAATTGGATTAATTATGTGTTTTTCTATCAACTAGTAGGCAGAAATACTACTTTATACTAAGAACCAGTACCACTGCAATAACAGCAACATTATTGAATTTATAAATTAAAGGTTATGATATAAATAGCATGATATTAAGATAATTACATATTTTGCATTTAACAGTTTGTTAATTTTTGTAAACAGGATGCCCAAATACACACTGAATATTTTTAAATTAAAAAAAAAGTTTAAAAAAAATTCTATTTTTGTGGAAAAAAAAAGTAACTTTTGCTTTAAGAAACCTGCATAAATAACAATTTTACAAATATCAGTATGCATTTTACAATAAATACATACTGAATATTTTTAAATTAAAAAGTTAAACAAAAATTCTGCTATTTTTGTAAAAAAAATTCACTTTTGCGTTAAAAAAAATCTGCATAAATAATAATTTTATTTGCATATCAATACATAAAACAAACAGCACTCACTTAACAAATATGAAACAGTAAAATATTTTCTTTAATTGGGAAATAAGATAAAATTATACATTTTTATACTTTAAAAAAAAAAAAAAAAAAAAGTGTATTTTTTTCTCTTTCCAACACAAAACAATTTTAGAAAGATTGCAAATATATCATCAATTTATTTATCAATGCAATAATGTTAAAATAGTTATTTTAAACATTTTAAATACCTCAACAGGTACAGAAGAATATACACAATTTAATTTAGCCTCATATTTATAATAAAACCCCAGTTTTCTATTTTACTTTTTCATTATTTGTTTATCTATTTATTTTTTATTTTTTTTTATTTATTTTTTTATTTATTTATTTATTTTTTATTTATTTTATTTATTTATTTATTTATTTATTTATTCCCCCCCCTCCCCCCCAAAAAAAAGTTTTAAAGCTTCAGTTATTCTCACTTGCTATGTACTAGAAATATGTAAGTTGAGGATTATTACAGTAACAAGGTACCAATTAGCCACTGTTTTTTAACACGTCAGCTTGAACCAATTCCAATCAACAGGCATTCTCCTGCAAAAGCATTGTAGCATTCAGAATAAGAATTTGATTGGATTATTCAGTTGTATGACAAAATGGTTATTATGTCTAAACATACTAGGGCTGTCTTCTATGAGGAAGGATGACTCTGAGGAGGTGATTCTGAGGGAAATTGCCTCATATTTACATTGCACATGGAAAAACTACAAAAACTCAGCTTGTCTAATATTTAGAAACAGAAGCTGCAATGAACTAAACACTATTTACAATGTTTATTAGCAGGTACTGCCTATTAGCAGGCAGCAGACAGTCAAAATGAGGAAAAATTAAGTGCATTGAAATAATTTTGCATGAAAAACATGCTTCATCATCCCTCATTCCAACAAAAAAAATCTTATAATACAGTCAAAAGTCGTTAATTCGGACACCCATAATCCGGAATGATCTATAATCTGGACATCAAAGCTACAAACTTTCTGTGCATGCGTTGCTTTGACACATGCACATAGGCGTTTAAGCGTGCGGTTAAGACCTTTACGGCTGTGAATATGTGTGAGCGCATTCGCATAATACGTTTACACATGCGCGTTTAATGTATAATGTATGGTATAAACTAAGCTAAAATTATCTAATTCAGTTAATGTTGCAGATTGCGTTGTTCCTCAATCTTCGAATTGGATCCGGCTTATTATTTTTTGCAGACTGTTAGAGCAATTTTATAAAAGTAAGCTTGAATTTTTGATTATGTCAAATAGCATTTCCGATATATATTTACTAATATGTAAAGGATCTACAAAGTGAAAGTATGTTTCGAAGTCCATTAAACAAAAAGTGGAATTGCTGCAAAAAATGGATAAAGGCATTTCCTTTGTTTCTTAACCATTCCGAAATCTGTTTATCAATTTCATGCTGCTCTGCGGCTGGGGGGGGGGAAACGCTGCGGCACGCAATGAATTGGAAGTTGATATGTCAGCAGTATCCTTATCTTCAGGGCAGATGTTTTTATTTTATTTGGCTTATAATTCCTTACTAAATGTAGTTTTTCCTCTCGATGTACTCCGTCTTTGATATGATTTAAATCAAGTTTCTCATCATTATAATTTGCTTCCGATAGTGAAGAAAGTGACACAGAGGTTATTGAAAACGAAAAAATTTCGATTGACAAATTAGTCGGTGTTCTCGACACAGCAATTATAGGACTTGAACAGCGGAACTTTTTGAGAAAACAGGTTCTCTGAAGGTTCAGTCAGGCAGAGGACGAAAGCCTGTACCACAGGATACAATCGAAGCAGTTGCCATGGCGATTGTAACTAAACAAGAAATTATGTCTGTTTAATAGAATTAAAGAGAAAGTATTATCACATGAAACGAAGCAACTTAAACAACTTACATTGAAAGAAATGTTTAATAAAGTAAACAAATAAATATTAAGCTTTTTCTTTTTGTAAATTTTGATACCCTTTAGATCATAAATTACGGTTATGATCTAAAGATCATAGATAATTATGATCTAAAGATTATAAGATTATGATCTTATAATTATTTCTTTATTTCATAAATTACGGTTTCGTATTCCTAATTTTGTGATTTCTGCATGCCATCTTACCAGATTTAAACTGATGATCTATAATCCAGAAAAATCGATAATCCGGAATCGCCGAAGTCCCGACGAGTCCGGATTAACGACTTTTGACTGTATTCACTGTAAAATTTATATACAATGATACACTTGAAAAATATTAATTTGGTGTAAAATTTTAAAAATTATTGCCAACTTCTAGATGACATATCACATTTAGAAAAATCAAACAATTCTGATTATTGGATTATTTATTAATACATCTGATTATTAGAAACTTAATTTAACTTTAATTATTTGATTTTAATCTTAATTTTAGTTTAAAATCTTTCAGCAGCTGCCATGAAATGGAAAATTAAGATGGCATAAAACATCTGCTTCAGTAAAATATTGCGTTATGCAAGACAGGTATTTCTGCACATAAATATGGCATTGTTAGAAGTATGTGATCAAAGATTAATGTTTACTATGCAAAAAATTTGATGCATTTTGTTACAGCTATCACTGATAAATAAGATAACTAGGTGTAGCTCTTCATAAGATATCTGAAACAACTGCAATATAAAAGTAAGATATTCAAAATTGGAGATATAGATAGTACACTAAATGATCTCGTTGAGAAATGAAATTTCAAGGAAACTTTTCTGAAGTATAAAATGATTTTAAAAGCTTCAAACTGACAGTAAATATTAATATAGACTTTGGTAAGCAAAAGTAACCTTTTAAGTCGATAAGTGTGATTTGAAAGATTTTGTTACTTCAAAATTGATAGAAGAATGCTTCGAGTTTCAAAAGGAAATAACACAAACCAAAAGCAACTAAACACAATAAATGGATAGAAATTAAACCACCCAGAAGCTCAACATGACGCACTCAATATTTTTGCTACAACTGACAATGCTACCCTGATCATAGAGCCTGAATTTAATTTTGAATAAATCTACTTTAAATTTATACTGTTACGGATTTGGTATTTAAATAGCTAATGTTAGTTGAATTATAAATTAAATTGTTTTATTCCCTGTGCAGTGCAGCGTGTGATGAATATTAAAAAGAAAGCTAAGCCAGAAGATTAAAATACAAGAACACGTGCATTTAACATTTAATAAATAAAATTTCTTTTTGATTTAGAGAAAGTTCCAGAAAATTATCACGCACAATTTAAAATCTTATAAAAGGAGGAAAACCTCTCAGTTCGTAGTTAGTCAGTTATTTTAGTTAGCTTGTTGCTGTTTTAGAGTTTGTTTAGAAAACTGCTCTTGTTGAATGTAGCAAATTCACGGATTAGCTTTCTTTAGCTGTTTTGAATTAAGTTCTATTGAACGTTTGAGTAGTTAAAAGATAACTACTGTAAGATATTGTAATATTGCATGATAATTTGAGGAAATTTAAGCATATTTGTTGTGATAATAATAAATTTTGTCCATTTTTCATTGACTTGTGCATTCAATTCAAATGAATAGAAAATAGAGTGTTAACAAATTCAAATTAACACGGAATAAAATTACCTTTTATTATGCACATTTTCTAATTTAGTTCAAGTGCAATATGACAACACTTTTAAAATAGCGTAAAATCTACATAAACACCGATAAAATCTGGCGATCTGCAATATCATGTATGCTGAGCAGAAGAAGAAGTTCTTTCTTCAAATTTCACGCTACATCTATTCACACAGTGCCAGCTGCTTGGGTTTTAAAAGGCAATGTGTTATGTTTCGAATCAATTGGATTGAAAGTTTATGTGTAATGTCTCTTTTTAGTTAAGCGTGCATTACTGGTCAAATTCTTTTACCTCAACCAGTGCAACGCGTCAGCCGCTCTTCGTGCTTTTAGAACGCACAAAAAAATGTGTAAAGGTAACGGTTCTGTGTCAGTTAATGGGCTAAAAGCAATGGTTGCGACATTTGAGAAAACAGGTTCTCTGAAGGTTCAGTCAGGCAGAGGACGAAAGCCTGTACCACAGGATACAATCAAAGCAGTTGCCATGGCGATTGTCGACAGAGGACCAGACAATATTGCTGCCACCTCTAGCACTCGTGGAGTAGCTCGGAATATGGATATGCCTTACAGTATGGTATGGAAAATCTTACGAAAGATTATCAACTTCTATCTGTACAAGATCAGCCGTGTACAGGAATTACTGTAACCCGACCATGATAAGCAATTGACTTTTGCTCTCACCTTTCTTGCCAGAAAGGAGGTGGATGATGCTTGGCCGTGGAAAATCTTATGGGGAGACGAGGTCCACTTTTACCTGAATGGAACTGTGAATACCCAGAACTGCCAAATTTGGTATGACAAACCCCCACATGCAGTCACAGCGGAATTTATCATAGGTCCATTCTTCTATGAGAACATTACGCTGACAGGACCGGAAACTTGTTCTGTTACTGGAGAGAAATATCGCCACCTGTTGAACAGCTTTGTCATCCCGGCACTTCAGCAAAGACAATGCCTGAGCGAAATCATTTTCTTGCAAGATGGAGCCCCTCCACACGTTGCTGTATGGGTGCAACAGATGCTATAACAAAAAGAGTCATTAGCTGCTATTTTCCAACTGCTTGGGCACCTTGGTCGCCTGATCTTACCCCCTGCGACTTTTGGCTATGCGGTTACCTTAAGTCCAAGGTCTATCAAGGAGTGGTCAAGGACCTGGCTACATTGAAGGATGACATATCACGGACTGTACGGGAGTTTTCTGCAGACATTACTTTCTGCTGTTGTGCATACTGTGCACAGAATGCAATATGTGGTCCACAACAACGGCAGCCACATTGAACCTCATTTGAATACAAAATAAAAGGTAATTTCTGTATTGATTTGCATTTGTTAACACTCTATTTTCTATTACACAGCGCCAAATATTCCCCTAGCGGTGACTTTTGGAACTAATTTGTTTTTCCGTGGAATCCTTCGTTCCCCGTCTTGTTTAATCTTCCTACAAAATGTGGCATCATTCTTGCAAATAGATCACGCTACAGAACACTGAGCACTATCAGTTTAATTATGCCACCCGGTGTATATATATATATATATATATATATATATATATATATATATATATATATATATATGGTGGGCAATAGCCATTTTAAGCTTTGGCCACTACTAAGCCCAGAAGTGATGCTCATTCTATTATGCAGGCACCTAATAGGTGGCTACTATTACATCCTATGAAGGGACAGACAATTTACATCCATGCCTTTTCTGGAATTCGAACCTTCCATAAGGCAGTCAGAACCACCTTTCCATCTGGGTGACATTTTGGTAAAAAATCATTTTAAAATCTTCTAATAATAATTTATAACATGAAATAATTTATGAACATTCAGTCATAAGCAACAAATGCTTTTAATATTCTTTGCACAGTGTAAAATTTGTTTCACATTTTGATGCTTCAATTGTAGGAGCAGTCTTTATTATTTAGTACACACTTATCTGAAAGTGCAAATAACTGAAACCTAGTATTCTACGCTGTCAAAAATGAATAATAACCAACTATATTAATTGCATCATTTAAGAATACTGCAGCAATTAATTTTTATGATTTGGATCATACAGCAGTTAATATTTATAACATTTTAAAAGTAATTAAAAATTATACACACCTTGGCAACACCAGATGCTACAACGCCTACTCCAACTTCTGATACTAGTTTGACAGAAATTCTGGCTGATGGATTGGCACATTTTAAATCATAAATGAGCTAAAGAAAATTAAATATACACATTAATTTTTTTTCAAATAATGTATTACAACAAAAATTGCTATTTTAAAATATGTAATTTCTTTTAACATACTTCAGCTAAATCCTCAATGGAATAGATATCATGATGAGGAGGAGGACTGATCAGACCCACCCCTGGAATGGAATGCCTTGTTTTTGCAATATATTTTGATACCTAGCAGAAAAATTGAAAGATAAGTTATTAAATTAAACAGGTTAATAATTAATGCTGCAGGGATTTTATTACAATGTAGTCAATATTCATTGAAGTATGCTTCACAAATTTTTTTTTTTTTTTTTTTACTTTTTTTTCTTTCAGCAGCAACAAGATCAGCAGTAAGCTATAGTAGTTAAATTTACAAACAGATAATAAATAGTAAATATTTATGTTTAGAAGTATTTACCTTATATCCAGGAAGTTCTCCCCCTTCCCCAGGCTTAGCTCCTTGTGCCATTTTAATCTGAAGTTCATCAGCATTTGTTAAGTATTCTATGGTTACCCCAAAACGTCCAGATGCTACCTGTAAAATAAATAATTATTATGAATTTTCTAATGCTATGCTATAAAAATTCAACACTCGTATATTTCCTTTTAAAAGTTGTAATTCTTATCACTTAAAGGAGCTGTAGATAAGCAAGCTAAATGAGATAAGTAATGTATACAGAAAATGTTTATAATTACCAATAAGTGTTCATCTTGAATATTATGCTGCATAAATTTTACCCAAAAAAATTTGAAAATATTTAAAGTTTTGTTTTTTATATTTGTGCCTCAAATATACACTTTAATTTTAAATGGGCTAAAAATTCTTATTTTCAGCACTTTTTATATTTGTTCTCATATGTTTGAAATTCCAGTCTAAGCAAAACTATTACACAGTATCATATAATCAAAGTTCTCAGATTTCATAAGAATTTTTAGTTAGTAGAACTCATTTCGAGAATTTTATTCTAACTTCAGAATTGAATCTGAAATCTGATATTTTCATATATTTTTAATATTTATCTCTCGCATAGTTCCCAATATTATGTATAAAAAATGGAGTGAAATATTTTCCTAATATTAAGAGAAATAGAAAAACTTACTTGCTTAATAGCAGATCTCACATTATTATTTGGATCTGTAATAACATATCGGTCAGGGTCTTCACCACCTTCTCCAGTATTTGATTTACCACCCACTCTGTTCATTGCCATAGCAAGAGTTTTATGGGCTTCTAGCGATATGCTGCCAAAACTCATGGCACCTGAAAATTATTTTTGTACAATGTAGTCTTTATTTCATGCTATAAGGTTCTTTCTTTAAGTCACAGTTAAAAATATAAAATACAGTCAAAATTCGTTAATTCGGACACCCATAATCCGGAATGATCTATAATCCGGACCTCAAAGCAACAAACTTTCTGCGCATGCGTTGCGTAAGACCTTTACGGCTGCGAATATGCGTCTGCGTGTGCGCAAAATACGTTTACAAATGTGTGTTTAATGTATAACGGAGGGTATAAGCTAAGCTAAAATTATCTAATTCAGTTAATGTTGCAGATTGTGCTGTTCCTTAATCTTCAAATTGGATCCGGCTTATTATTTTTTGCAGACTTTTAGAGCAATTTTATAAAAGTAAGCTTGAACTTTCGATTATGTCAAATAGAATTTCTGATATATATTTACTAATATGTAAAGAATCTACAAAGCAAAAGTATGTTTCGAAGTCCATTAAACAAAAAGTGGAATTGCTGCAAAAAATGGATAAAGGCATATCCATTTTTTATCTAAACTTTAACGTTTGTTTATCTTTAACGCTGCGGCCGGTGCGCAATGAATTGAAAGTTGATCTGTCAGCACCATCCTTATCTTCAGGGCAGATTTTTTATTTTATTTGGCTTATAATTCCTTACTAAATGTAGTATTTCATCTCAATATACTCCGTCTTTGATATGATTTAAATCAAATTCCTTGTCATTATAATTCGCTTCCGATAGCAAAGAAAATGACAGAAGTTATTGAAAACGAAAAAATTTCGATTGACAAATTAGTCAGTATTCTCGACACAGCAATTATAGGACTTGAACAGCGGAACTTTGTAAATGAACAAGAAAGAATTAAAGAGAATGTATTATCACATAAAAAAATGAAGCAACTTAAACAACTTACATTGAAAGAAATGTTTAATAAAGTAAACAAATAAATATTAAGCTTTTTTTTGTAAATTTTGATACCCTTTAGATCATAATTGTTCTTTATTTCATAAATTATGGTTTCATATTTTTAATTTTATAATTTCTGCATGCCATCTTACCAGATTTACTGATGATCTATAATCTGGAAAAATCGATAATCCGGAATCACCGAAGTCCCGATGAGTCCGGATTAACGACTTTTGACTGTATATATTAATTGAAAATAAATAAGAAATTTATGCAATAACATTTATTTCAATAATCCATAAAACATTCCAAATAGGATAACGCAATTAATTTTATTAGTAAATTCAATTTGGGAAGCTCAGCCATATGATGGAAAAGCATATACAGTGGGTAAAAAAAAGTATTGGCAATTGCATATAATTGATCATATTACCTAACAAAGGAAATGCTTGATGATTTTAGCTGGATATAACAAACATAAGAGGTAATAAACACATCAAATCTAATGAAATTTTCAATTTAATATGCATTTTACAAAAGATATACAACAAAAACGTAAATTTGCATGTCAAAGTTCTAACTGCTATGCAAATTTTGTTATGTAGAGGTCACGTGTTTAGACTGATAAGAAACCCTATTAGTATAAAGTCTGCAGTGCTACTTCAAACCTTTTAAAATGTTTTTTTGCTAATAATGTAATAAAATGGCTTCGAAGTTGAAGGAGTTGGATGTTAATGTTAAAAACATAATTATTCAGCTCAGAAATGAGGGTTTAACTTATCATGCTATAGGAATACAGTTGAACATAAGTTTATTTGTTAGAAGTGTTGTAAAAAAGTTCTAACAGAGACAGGATCGACGGAAAATAAGAAGTGGCCGGCATCGATTTTCTGCAAGGAAAAATGGGGCAATAAGATTAGCAAAAATCCTAAAATAATTGACGGCATCAAAAATGTCTGACTTCGCATAAAACTTTTGGAGTAAAGACCAAGTTATTATCAGAAGGAAAGGAAGCTAGAAAGAAACCTTTCATTTCAGAAATAAACAGGAAAAAGGGATTAGATTTTGCAAAATCTCATTTTAATTTATCAGAAGAATTTTGGAACACTGTTATTTTGTCCAACAAATTGAAGTTTAACATTTTTGAGTGTGATGGACGACAATATGTGTGGAGAATGCCTATCACCGAACTAGGAAAACAACATTTAACACCAACTGTAAAACATGTTAGAGGGAGCATCGTAGTTTGGGGCAGTATGGCACAAACAGAATTGGTAACCTGTGCTTCATTAATGGTATTATGACAGCATGCACGTACATTGACATATTGCACCATAATATGAAATTCAGTGTCCCAAAAACTTGTTTAGGAACATCATTCGTGTTTCAACAGGACAATGACTCTAAAGATACAATGAACCTCATCTCACAATAGTTACTCTATAATGCTCTTTGCCAGTTAAAGATGACAGTTAATAGCCTGACATAAATTCAATTGAAAATTTATGGCTTAAATTGAACCTAGAAGTCAGGAAATATAAAATGTCATGTAAAGATGAACTTAAGCATATACTCCTGCAAGAATGGCACAAAATTCCTAACAGGACTTTGGTTTTTCCCAACAGGACTTTTTCAACAACCAGAACTTTCGTTTGAGAAACAGATTACAAGCTCTTATACATGCAAAAGGTATGAATACAAAGTATTGAATTTTGTTCCCCCATTTTGCCGTATGATCTTGTCAATACTTTTTTTGACATGCAAATTTACGCTTTTGTTGTATATTTTGTGTAAGAGGCATATTAAAATGAAAGTTTCATTAGATTTGTGTCTTTATTGTCTCCTGTGTTCATTATGTCCAGCTAAAATTGTCAAGCATTTCCTTTGCTAGCTAATATGATCAGTTATAGGTAACTGCCAATACTTTTTTTTTACCCACTGCGTTACTTATCCTATACAGAAATGCAGTAACAGTCTACTGGATGAAGTAAATTCAATGAAGATGAAAATTTGTTGCAACATTTCTGTTTTGTATTAGCTTATCTCATAGTATAAAAATAATTAGTTAACTATAACAATATTTCTCATAGTATATGAATTACTGATCAGTTATCTCACTGTCTGTACACAAGCTATATATTTCTAAATAGCTTCCTGAAACTAATTTCTTTTATTTTAATAATAAAACTTTTATCTCTTTAAAATGCAAATTACTTAAAACAGTCTTTTAATAAATACAAAACAAGAATTTCATTGGAGCAAAAGAGCAAATCATAAAAAATAGAGCACATTATAGATAATATTAAAGAATGCTCTTGTTCATTTCAATATTACTTAAAACTTAAAAGAACTTCAGAAGCTCACTATTATAAATTCAAAGAAGATGAAAATTTTTAAAGAAGCAAAATTCATTTTAATTTCATTTATGTAAATTTACTGAATTTGCTATTCTGTAGTCCTTTTATAAATGTCTATTTTTACACATAAAGGTATCAATTTCAAAAGTGTCAATTTTATTTTTAACTTTTTTACATAGAAGAATTCAGGTAACTACTTAATATTTGACTGCCTGTGATTTGCACTCATTATCATATGTATATAAATAAACAAAATCTTGATTTTGAGAAAATTCAGCACAGTAAATATAAAAGGCATTTTTCTTATATAAATATAAAAGTTAATTTTTAAAAAATACACCATATTTCTAACCCTATACCACCATTTTCTAATCATATTTGATTTTAAAATACATTTTATTATATTTAGCATTTTCCACTCACACACCAGCACTATCTTTCTACACATAATATGGATTATGAGTTCCTGCAAACTATACATTTTAGATAAATCCATACTTTCGAGCACACAGTCACTGCCTTTTCAAATTAATTTTGAATTTACATGGTTAAGATATATAATTGTTCACAGCTTTCCACTGTGTTCCAACTCAAATGCACTTTGTGAAGGACTGTTCATAATTAATGAAAGTATATTATTAAAAAAATCTGTAGAAATTTTTCTGGTATCAAAAATGAAAAACTTAGTTATGAAAATCCAAAATTTTAACTTAAACACTTTTTGTTAACTGTTAGCAAAGTTATATAGTATATATTTAATGGCATAATTATTGAATGTTAGGACTTTTGTGAACAAAATATTTATTTTGTCTTCCAAAGAAAATAAAAATCACTTTGACAGTAATTTTGCTGGTGAATACACCCCTCCCCCAAAAAAAGTATTTCAATGTATTTTTACAAGAGAATTCTTTATTTCGCCAAAATATTTCCCAGAGTCAGTTTCCCTTAGAAAATCCTCCACAAAGGCATTCCTCTTAGGCACATAGCCCTCGACAGCTTTGCATTAAAATTAGCCAGACAAAACAAAATATTTCCCTATCATTTATCCTTTTTTTTTGAATGACACTTTCCTTCTGTTTATTTAAAAACATAACTGTTTTGTACTGAAAAATCCTGATTAATAATTCTTAGACGTAAACATATTTTTATAGTTATATACAAACAATTCAGATTTAGTATAAAAATTAGAATGGGGAAAATGTAAACAAGACTCGTACAGACACAGCTATACTCTGTAAAACCCCAAGTATGTATATTACTATACAGTACAAAGTCCGTAATCCGGACTTCGGGGATTCTGGATTAGAGGTTTTTCCGGATTATAGACCATCAATTTAAATCTGGTAAGATGGCATGCAGAAATTATACAATTAAAAATATGAAACCGTAATTTATGAAATAAAGAGCAATTATGATCTAAAGGGTATCAAAATTTACAAGAAAAAAGCTTAATATTTATTTGTTTACTTTATTAAACATTTCTTTCAATGTAAGTTCTTTAAGTTACTTCGTTTTTTGTGCTAATACTTTCTACTTAATTCTCTCTTCTATAAACAGACATACTTTCTTGTTCAATTACAAAGTTCCACTGTTCAAATCCTGTAATTGCTGCATTGAAAATACCGACTAACTAGTCAATCTATTTTTTTTTTTTTCGTTTTCAATAACCTCTCTCTCACTTTCTTCACTATCGGAAGCACGCATGTGTAAATGCTTTACTGGCTTTACGTGTATGAGTAGCAGATGCGCGTGCGTAAAGGCATTACGCACATGCGTAAGTTTGTGGCTTTGAGATCTGGATTATAGATCATTCCGGATAATGGACGTCCTGATTATGAACTTTGTACTGTATAAGCAAATATATTTTTCATACTGATAAGACAGAATTCAATAACTTGAATTTTGCCGTTAGTATTTCAAGAAATAAGAAAAAATAGATTCTAATGCTCTGTATTTTAATAATCAAATCATTTAATGTATCACCTGTTGCAAACCTCTTTACAATTTCTTTTGCCTCTTCTACTTCACATATATCTATAGGCTCTGGAACCTTGGCAAGTTCAAACTGTCCCCTAAGAGTACATGCTCTAACATTTTCCCATTGTAGTTTCCACAAATTTTGCATATGCATTTTTATTATTAGCCCGTGCAGCATCCTAAAAATAAGTTGTTGTTTTATTAGATTATTATTTGTAATGAAAATTTTATAATTAATAAAAATGTGTCATAAGAGTATTTTTCTGTAGTCAAAATATAACATTACATAAAAAAAATGCTCATATTATATTTTGCTTAAAGATATGCTCTTAATGGTAAACTTAAAGCAATGATAAAAATACTGAAATATTTTAATTATGCAATCAGATAAGTGCAAAACACTAACTTGTAAGTTAGCAATAGCCAAAGGGTCATTTATATGTTTTTCACCACCACTTCTCCAATGGTAATTTCCTGGATTTCTTAGAACAATATTATCACAATCTCTGTCACTGTAAGCAATACGATATCGCTCAAGATTTTCTTCAGCTAATATACGGAATGTGATGCCACCAATACGTGAAGGGGTATTCTAAAAAACAGAAATTTTTACCTTTTGTGCATAAAATGAATCAATAAACATATAAATAAATCTGCATTATTCCAATAAAAAGAAGTACTGATAAAAATATGTAACTGTTTTATTACTATGACATTAGTTCAACAGCAGCCAAGCAATTAAATCACTCAACACTGGTAGTTCAACCCACATTGAAACCCTGGCACTTGGGCTTCTGCATAAGAATTCTGCTGGTTTTCACTGTGTGTAATATGAATACAAACTAATTTTTCTTGGAATGTCTTCCATGAAGATACCTCCACTAATATGAATACAAACTAATTTTTCTTGGAAAGTCTTCCATGAAGATACTTCCACTCCCTAAGACAGATAGATCTGATATGCTTTGCTTTAATCAAATAACCTGACCTATTACAACATTAGACTTGGCAAATATTTGAAAAACTATATAAAATATGTCTTCCTATTAAATATTCCTTTATTTTTACTGAAGCTTCAGAGAGAGTAAATAGCAGGGGTTTTTCAGCTGAATAATACAGTGAAATTTCTACATATAAATTATACAATTTACACTTAGAATAACAATTTATGTATTCTTAATCTGCTTAATCTGTGTGCAATTCAAAACTTAATTCATAGCTGTGATTCATAAAGACAAGATTTTCTTCATCTGCATCTATTAAATAAATTAATATGCTATTCCAATACCAACAACTATAAAGCAGAAATGTTTAACCGATTATATAATTATAACACATAATATATAAGAAAATTAAGATAAAAATTACTGAATTATTTACTCCATTAAATTTCAGCAATCATACATATTACATAACAGTTACTACAGCTCACAAAGAAATTACAAATATACCATTAATATTTCAGTTTCTTTCCAAGTAACTGATATTAGTAAGATGTAATTATGGAAATATTATTTTCTAACAAGTAATATAAAAAAAGTTAAGTCACTTCCTACTTGGGACAACAAAGAAAAATGTTAGTTACTTTTTATTAACATTATTAACATTTTTCCATTCATAATTTATAAAGCTGATGGTCTATAATTTCTTATTCGATCCATCTCTTGTAATGATTCATTATTGCAAGGAACCTTTCCAACAAGTTTCGAGCAGCCCAGTTCTTCAATTAATATTCCATCTAATGATTTCACATGACTCAAGGCGACATATGATTGACCTGCTGTGAAGAGTTTTTGTCCTAGATATATTACTATTGAATTTTCGCTACATTAATGGGACATTATATCCGCTTCATTCAAATCCATAAAACTACAATTCTTTAATTCCCTACACTTTAAAAATCTTTAGAACTCTGTCTTACTGTTGCCACTTATTTTTGTTAAATATTACAATCTCTTTTATGACAGTCATGTACTATTATTTATAAGTCATCATAAAATTAATTTTTACAGCACATGAAAATTCCCAATAAATGATCATGGTAAATCTCATAATATATTTAAAAAAACAGCATATCTTTAGTTCCGATAAACAGGAGTAAGTAGGAATTGATTTTAATGTGTGGAAAAAACTGTATTAACATCAAGTGTCATCCACTACAAATTAAAAAAAAATGTATTTGAATTTGAGTGGATGAATAAAAAGTATTTTATTAATGATTGAAAATTTGAACAAGATATAGGGAGAGTGTGAGCTAATAGTAGGAATTTAATAATAAATAGAGGCATTTGAAGGTAAGCAATAAAAAATTGCCTTTAATTTACTTTTTCCAAAGCACAAATGTGAAGTCATTGCAAATGTAAAGAAATTGAAAATATTATTCAAAAATCAAGCAATAATGCTACACATAATTTTTTTAGAAATACAGATATTGCATTTTGTTCTCAAATGTCAAAAAGTCAGTGTATAAAAGAAAACAGCTGGTAGAACACTACCTATTAAATGTCTGCCTACATTAAGGGCTTAAAGGTACAGACCTTGCACTAAAAAATGTGAGAAACATTTTATTCCTTCTTGATAAAAAGGAATCTCAAAAGAATTTTGTTAATGTTATGCAGAATGTATACAAAAAGTAAATACAGCCAAAAGTCGTTAATCCGGACTCGTCGGGACTTCGGTGATTCCGGATTATCGATTTTTCCGGATTACAGATCATCAGTTTAAATCGCGTAAGATGGCATGCAGAAATTCTAAAATTAAAAATATCAAACCGTAATTTATGAAATAAAGAACAATTATGATCTAAAGGGTATCAAAATTTAGAAAAAAAATCTTAATTATTTGTTTACTTTATTAAACATTTCTTTCAATGTAAGTTGTTTAACTTGCTTCGTTTTATGTGATAATACTTTCTCTTTAATTCTATAAACACACATAATTTTTTGTTCAGTTACAAAGTTCCACTGTTCAAGTCCCGTTAATTGCTGTGCCGAGAATACCGACTAACTTGTCAATCAAAATTTTTTCATTTTCACTAACCTCTCTGTCACATTCTTCATGTCTTTATCCATTTTTTGCAGCAATTCCACTTTTTTGTCTGATGGACATCGAAACATACTTTCATTTTGTACGATCCTTTGGGAGCTCCAGAATCGGAAATTCTATTTGACATAATCGAAAGTTCAAGTTTGCTTTTATAGTATTGCTCTTACAGTCTGCAAAACATAATAAGCCGGATCCAGTTCGAAAATTAAGGAACAACGCAATCATCATTTAGCGTATACCGACCGTTATACATAAAACGCGCACGCGAAAACGTATTCTGTGCTTGCACACACGCCAATGTGCAGTCGTAAGAGGTCTTACGCGCATGCGTAAAAGCCTATGCGCATGTGTCAACGTGGCGCATGCGCAGAAAGTTTTTAGCTTTGAGGTCCGGATTATAGATCATTCCGGATTATGGGTGTCCGAATTAATGACTTTTGACTGTATAACTATTGTAAAAATAAAATAAATACAAGAAATCTGGCACTGAATGAAAGAGCAGGGAAAAAAAAATTGTGATGGAGGCTAATTGCTGACTATACTCCATGTCCATCGAAGTCTTTTTTGTAGCCTTTATTTTTGCAACTATTGGTCACAAAGATATTCTTTCAGCTAAAAAGATGCATTAAATAAGAAAAGCCTTCCTGTTATGGTATTTTTGTTAAAATTATAATGCCTAGTTTAAACTAGCTAAACTTCCTTGTACGAAGTAAAAGAAATATTGTAATCGCGAAAAATTTCAGGTATTATATTTCAATGAAAATATTCATTTTGAAAATTCTCAAATCCATTTGGATGATTTTCTTTGGGTGATGTCTGTACATATGGACAGAACAAAGCGCTTTTTTTTTTTTTTTTTTTTTCCAAAATGGATTCAGAAAGGATTTTTTTCTTTGATGTCTGTATGTACGTATGAATCTAAAATTATTACCTGTAGAATATCGAAATTTTGTACATGAGACTGCTATAACATCTAGTTGTGCACCTCCTTTTTTATTGCAATATATATATATATATAAGGTAAGGGAAAGTTCTATGCTCGTTATGGAAAAAATTAAGAAGTTTGACTATCGTACGACAAAAACTGACCGGGCTATTTATTTCTCCAAAATTTGCAATTTTTTATGTCATTTTCCCCGAGCAAAGTCATTTGTCTTGAAAGTGGTTAATTAAATTAGAATAATTCAAGCAAATATGTTTAAATGAAGTGTAGCAAAAAATGTGTATAATTTAATAGGCCATACAAGAAAATGTGATATCCGTACAGATTTTTTAATTTTCAAATGTCAAAGCAGATATTTTTGTCATTTAAAATATTTTTATGATTGAAAAAATATATGTCTGTGACCAACATTTGTAAAAATACAGCTTGCATAAGGCCTTTTATGGGTATTCTGCAAGCTGTATAGCAATAAGGTACCATATATATTCCAAAAATTTAAGATTAAATAAATGTTAAAATGAAGGCAAAACCATTTCTAAACAGAGAAACAAAGATGAAGATTAAGGTAAGCAAAACTATTGGAATGATATGATTAGATAAATGAAAGAAGATCGTTTTCTCTAATAAAACTTAACTGACTCTTTCTGAAACTGAACTGTTTCTGAAAAACTCATAGATTCTGGCGTAATAAATATTATTGACACTATCTGCATTCAAAAGCTTCAGAAATCTTTCAGCAGATGAAGTGATGACACCAGTAAATTTTTTAGACGAGGCAGTAAATCTATCATTGGCATAATTAGTTAATATAGGATGCAACTTATTATCAAGTTATGCTAGAACATTTCACGTTTAGAAAATTATTAAGTAGGAATGATTAATTGTTTTTTACTAATAGATTATAACATCCATCTGGCTAAAGAACAGTTTTTCAGAGGAAAATAATTGATGCCATGGATCATGAGCCTAAAACTTTGGTTTACGGGATCAACTTCCAAACTTAATAGTAATGTTAAAAATAATCTCTCTCTCTATATGTTAACAAAAGCTGAGAAAAAGACTAAGGAATTTATAACAATTTTTTGTTTGTTTGTATTTTACATCAATTTTATTAATTTTATTGAATTGCTGATTTTTTCTCCCAGTTATGAAATGTTTTTGTATTGATTTTGATCTATGTATATCCTGTTAGAGGGCGGCCCCCCTTTTATAATCTAATTATGACTTAATCACTAGCTCTTGGTTTTATATATATATATATGTATATGCATAACAATGCTGCTTTGATGTGACAAGATAGGTATTAAATATGTGCAAAAAGTAGTCAACATACACCGAACAGAATTTATTTACTAATTATATCAAATTCTTTTTTTTTTTTTTTAAATTTTAATGTATATGTCAAATTTTGAAACATTCATGTTTGTTATTTTAACTAACACCAAGGTATAATAATTTATATTGATTAAATTCGCCTTTTTGATTAAAATTTTATGAAATTATTTAATACATTGCCATTTTACACTGCAAAGATACGCTTAGGAAATTATGAGAGTATATATAATTTTTTTACAGAGGTAGTGCAACTAAT